AATCCTTAAATATTCCGGATTCCTTTTAAGATAACTAACAGATAGATTTAAAAGCAGGTTTAATACCTTCTATTATATTAATCTTATAATTAAAGATTCTATACTCTAGTAGTACTCTATCGGCTAGTACTATAAAAATATACTTAAACTCTTAGTATTTATCTAGAATCTTAGATTTATCGCTAGTAATATATAGCTTTTTATATTTAATAATTATATATTCTAGGAGGTCATAGGGGTTAGATAGTAGGAAGGAAAAACTAAAGATAAAAGGTAAGAAAGTAAAGAGATAAAAGGTTATATTTTGTTAATTGAAGTATATTCAATATATAGAAGATATTAACTATATTGAAAAAAATTATTATCTCGGTGGTTATAGTCTTATTTATCTCTTTTGTAAATAGATCTAGATAGATCTAATTAAATATCTTATCGTTATAATAATATATTTAAAATGTATTATAGTTATATTATTAGATTATTATTTTGTAATGTTGCATTTAATAAATTTATTATATAGTTATATTTATTAAATAATTATTTATAATATTGCATTTTAATAATGGTATGGCTCTGTGGTATTAAGCTCTTACAAAGAATACTAGCTGTCAGGCTAGTTCCTATTGGTCAGGCGAGTTGAATAGCAGCAGAGAGGAGAACGTAGTATATTCTTTATATAGAGACTAATTCCTACTAACCGGCCCCTCTTTTTTTTACTAAAAATACGGACCCTCGCAAGCGAGGGTCCTTCACCTATATAAATAAGATCATCTAAATGAACAATCTTTTAAATCCTACCACTTTCTCTTAAATTTTTAACTACCCTACCTACTATACCTAAAGATAATAGAGATATAGAGGATCTGATTCCTAAAGCTATCGACTCTCTCTCTAAGTAATCTAAACTTAATATCTCGAAAACTATATAAGAATTCGTAGTTCTAATTAGACGACTATAACGCCGGTAGTTAGGTAGAAAATCGCTTTTTTTAGCGTTAATCTAACGGTCGGAAACTAAGTCCTAGATAGGAGAAGGCTCCATATAAATATATTAATTACTATAAGTCTATAGGAGTATTAATAAATCGTTATTAAACTACTATTATAGCTAATTTAATTCTTAAATTATAACTATACCGATTTAGCTATAAACCTCCTTTAGATCGGCGACTAATAGCTAAAACGTTTTATAAAATAATATCCTAAGGACTATATATAACGTTAGCGAGCTTTTAATACTAAAAGAGCTTTTATACTTAATAAAACTATAGTAGAAAGGTAGTTTTAAGTAGATCTATAAAAATTGCCTAAATAAGAGTATAACTATTTAGTCTATTAAGCCTAATACTTAATTATTTATTAATAATATCTTTAGCCTAAAGTACTAATTTACCGCCGCTTTTCTCGCTATTAAGCGATAATTAATATAGTTATATTAATAGATTTATAATTATAACTATAGTGCTAGATATTAACTCACTATATACTACTAGAATAGTGTAGTATTCTATAGAATTAATACCTAGTTATAGAATTCTACGCCTTCTATAACTATTTAACTAGCACCCTATCGTTATAGTAGTAGCGGCCTTTAATATATTAAAAATATACTATATATAGTATAGACGATTTAGTAGTAATAATAAAGCCTTTTAGGATTAACTAGTCGTTTAAAAGGTCTATTATTTAGGCTTTAGTAGTATAGTGTTACGCACTGCTAACTGGTCACAGTTAGGTTAGAAGGATTCGGTTATACTTGCCTTATGCTTCTAGGAGGTTATAGGGGTTAGATGGTAGGAAAGAAAAACTAAAGATGAAAGGTAAGAAAGTAAAGAGATAAAAAGGTTGTATTTAGTTAATTGAAGTATATTCAATATAAAGAAGATATTAACCGTGTTGTTAAAAAGATTATTATCTCGGTGGTTATAGTCTTATTTATCTCTTTTGAAAATAGATCTAGATAGATCTAATTAAATGTGTTATCGTCATAATGATAGATTTAAAATGCATTGTATAGTTATATTATTAAATCATTATTTTGTAATGTTGCATTTTAATAAATTCATTATATGGTTATATTATTAAATCATTATTTGTAATGTTGCATTTTTAAACTAAAATGCATTGTATAGTTTAAATCACTTACATGTTATATTAATAGGATTATAATAGTAGAAGTATTAACTTTTAAATATGATAACCCCTTTATAATTATACTTCGCCTTAATCTCTAAACCGATCTCTAGTATAGTATAATTAGTGATTTAACGTATAATTATAAGCCTTTAGTACTATTAACCTATTATACTTAGCGGGCCCTTAAATTTATAAATAAGAAGGATAAAATTAAGAACGCTTCGATAAGGTTATATTATACGTTAGATTCTTAATAAGCTTTATAATACTAATCTAGAAAGCGCTATTATTACCTAAGATATTTATAATTCCTATAAGAAGCTTAATTAACTATTTTTAGCTAGCTAAACGCCGATTTAAGCGCTTTTATAAAAGCTTCTAAGAGACGGTAATTAGATATTTAAGTATAAACTCGATAATTAAAATTATATTTCTACCCTTTTCTATATATATAAAACGAGCGTTTAAATACTATAGATAGGTACTTTTAATAGATTATACCTATAAGATAAATTAATATAGTCTTCTTTTACTAGATATTATCGGCTTTTATACTACTAGGTCTACCTATTATCTTAGCTTTATATTTATATAAGATAAAAAGGAAGATATATATAAAATCATACTTTCTTATCTAGCTAAGGTATATAAATTATTTAGCCTTAACCCCCTATACAATACTTATAGATAAAGAGAAAGCCCTAATAAATACGAGTAGGTAGATCTTTCTAAATATAAAGAATATAATCTACTTATAGTATATTAATATAAATATTATAAAGAAAGCGCGCCTAATTCTATTAGAGTAAGTTAGAAAAGCCCTATAAAAGACTAATTCTATCTAGAATACTAGTTTAATATAAGCCGCTTCTACCTCCTACCGCTATATAAAAACTAAAAAAGAGAAGGAGATCTAGAAAAAGACTAAAAAGGGTTAGAAGAAGATATTAAAGCGATAGAATCGAGTCGTCTTTATCTCTATAATTGATAATTTTAATATATAATAGGGAGTATTTAAAAAGATATATTCCGATTTAATTTTTAGCCCTTTTCTCGACTATATCTAGACTAAATAAATAGACGACTACCTTAAATAATTCCTTTATTTCTATTCAAAGCACTATCTTTATCTTAACGAAATTACTACTTCTTATATAGAGGGAGCCTACTAATTACTAAAACTCGATCTCTAGGTCTCTATAAATAACTTACTAGTAGTGCTTTAGTACTTTAAACGCGCGGTTAAGCGTTAATTTACTAAAATCTAGTATAAAATTACTATAAAGCGTATTAGAAAACTAATATAGCGAGCTTTACCTCTATATACGCTTCTTACTAATCGAGTTTCACTATAAGCGATTTAATTAATAAAGGACGTCTATATAAGATATCTTCTAGAAGGAGAGGATAGTAAGCTACTAATTTACCCCTTATATACCTATAACTCGAAAGAGATAGCGGGATTTCCTTATATTTATATTATTAAGAAGTATAACGATAAGAAGAAATAACTCGAACTAGATATTTTCTATTAATATTAGTATTTATATAGTATAAATAACGCCCCTCCTATCGATCCCTCCCTTCTAGTTTAGGATCCCTTTTATATACGTTAATAAGGGCGACCCTAAGGTATATATAACTCTAGAAGTACCTAGGCTACTTAGGCTTAGAATACCTAGTCTTCCCCTAATCTATTAATATAAGATAACTCTATTTACCGAGATCTATTATTATAGGAAGTAAGTCGAGGCTAGATATAAGGTATAGTATACGGAAATGCTAGTTTAATGGGGGAAGCGGGAATATAAAGGTCTTAGTGGTTAGCTAGGTGCTTAGTATAGCGGGTAGGGACTCGGGGACGATCTCTAGATCGGAATCTAGATCTGATTCTAGATATATAAAGCCTAGGGAGGCTATATTAACGATAGTAATAATGGATTTGATAAAGAAAGTGATAAAAAAATGGGTAGGAAGAGAGTAGATTAATATATATAAACTAGAATTAGAATATCAATTTGTTTGATCCTATCTATATATATATACGGAGTGTTATATATAAATTGTAGGTATCTGCCGTCTTACTAGTATTATATAGGTAGTTTAACACGAAGATGGTGTGGAGAGCGGTAGGCAGAAGCAGGCATCAATTCAGTGTCGCACCCAATCGGGAAGGCGGTACTGAAAATTCAGGCCAGGGGGGTCGCATTACGGAGAGGGGGGGGGTATACCAATCCCCTTTAAATAAATAAAAGTGGACTATAATATTGTATATAGTTAAATCTAATACTTCTACTATTATAATCCTATTAATATAATATATAAGTGATTTAAATCATATAATACATTATTAAAATGTAATATTACAAATAATGATTTAATAAATATAACTATATAATGCATTTATTAAAATGTAACATTATAAATAACTATACAATACATATATATTGCCGTACTGCATATTTCTTCGTTATAACTCTCTAATAAAAACCATACCATCCCCCCCCAGTTTAACAGAACAACCTATAAAGAACTTTCCGATCTTTTCAGTAACAGTGAGTCTATTCGTCCACTTATAATGGTTCGTTTTATATATGGCTACATCGAGTGACACTTTAGCAAATATGGCAGCTTAAGAAACATATTTGAGTTGATATCAGTCTTAGGCGCAATCCAAAGTTGATGTCATATAACATACTACAGGCATTGATCATATTCGTCATCATATTCCAAAGCGGTATTAGCAAAGCGATATTCATGCCTCTCCACCTCCCCAGGGTCTATGGGTATAGTGACCAAAGGCGACCTGAAACCAATCCAATATCACCTCAGACTAAGCAGGGCGATCAGCGGAAACTAATTTCTCATGGTGCGGGTGCTGGGGGAGGGGCATCAGGCTTTTTTTCCATTTTAGGACCCCCTTTGCCCCCCCGGCGATTGGTCCCACCTAACATCCACATCGCGAAACTTCCGGGGACATCTGGTCCTCTGGCCTTAGCTTTTTTAGAACCTAGAGAAAAGGTAAGCGCATGTCTCTAAAAGTGTTTGAAAGCGACATTCTTACCATCTGCTTTCTTTTTCGGCTCGGCGGGCGGATCTGCAGGTTTTACCGGGGCAGGCCCTGGCGCAGGGGGAGGGTCTTCCTTTGGCTTTTCGGGAATTGGCCACATGTGCATAGTGATAGCCCAGTCAGGCTCGACCACAGTTTCCCAAACCTGTGGGAGGATAATGTCGCCATTCGGACCAATAAGATCATAATGGCCCTCAGCCACATGAGGTCCAATAACTTCAATATGGAGGAAAGCCTGCCGGATGAGCTCTTCCATTCCCTGTAACCACAGTTAGAATAAGAAAACTCTATATAACCGGAGCGAGGGGTTGACATACCTGCCAGGTAGCACATAGTTCAAATGGAAAGCTGAATTTTCTCCCAACAGCGTCCTTGAATTTTATAGGCTGCTTCTTCTCTGGGGGTGGCGGCGGTTCGGCAGCTTTAGCAGCCGCCTCAGCAGCCGCTGCGGCCGCTTTATCAGCTGCTTCCTTGGCCGCGGCCGTTGCCGCTGCTGCTGCTTCAGAAGCGGCTGTGGCAGTGGCTTTCTCTGCCTCCTCCTTAGCCTTTGCGGCATCCTCTGCAGCCTTTTTTCGGCATCTGCTCGAGCAAGCGCTGCAGCTTCCAGGGTAATCTTCCTATCATGCGCGGTCTGCGCCTCCTGAGCTGCTTTCTCAGCGGCCGCGCGTTCAATAGCCTGCTTTTTGGCGAGCTCTTTCGCTTCGCGGTCTAGACGGTCGTCCAAAATCAACTTCTCTAGCCTCGCAATCTGCTCATCCTTGGCAGTGTCGACTGGTGGAGGCGGCGGTGGAGGGGGAGCAGGTTCAGGGGCTGGAGCCGGAGCCGGAGCAGGTTCGGGAGCAGGCGTCGGGGGTGGGGGGATTTAGGTTCAGGTTGCACTGGAGGAGAAGGCACTGGGGGATAGGGGGGCCAATAATGAGGAGGCATCATGCCCGGGATTGGTCCCCCGAAGTAGCCGGGTTGATCACGATAGAAACCAGTCTGACCATAGGCCATCATCTCATGAGAATATCCAGGGTAAGGGGAGTGGGCACCGTGAGGACCCATCGCGTGCGGCATTGGCGGCTGCATTGGCTGCATTGGGTTGTGCGGATTGTGCAGCTGAGGCGGCTGGCGAGGCGCATGTCGTGGATGAAGTTGGGGTTGATCGGGAAGAAAATGAGACCCCGGTTGGAATTGAGGCGGGTATCCATAGGGCGGAGGAGCACCGTAGGGGTTGGGTTGGCCCGGGTGAGGAATTCTCATGAGTTCTGATGTAATCGGGGGAGGATTGTAGTGGGTATACGGGCCATGGCCCGGGGGTGGGGGAGGAGGGTATGGGGTGTAAGATGGACCAGAGGACTGGCTGGGAGCGTATGCAGCAGGGGCGGGTGGCATAGGTTGTTGCCACCCCCTCCGATCATTTCGACCAAAATTGGGAGGGTACTCGTCGGCGGAATCGGCACTATCGGGAGAATCTGGTGATTGTTGTCTTCGGCCTCGAGGGGCGAACGACTGATGTTCTGGGCCCATACGTCGCGATGTTGGGCGACGGCCCGAAGCGGAGCGTGAACCGTGGGGCGGACGACTGCGGTGCGAAGTTCTTGGTCGGGAGGCTGAATCAGATGGTTTCAATTCATCCGGATATGGCAAATGCGCCCACTCATCATAATCCTGGTACTCATGACTTTCTAACTCGGAAGATGTAGGTACATGGACACCAGACGAGCCCTCGTCGTCGGAGTAAGAGCGATCCGAACCGTGGGGGTCTGGATCAATCGAGATACTGAGCCTGTAGAGAGAGAGAAAGAGAGAGTAAGGGTGAGAAAGTGAGTTTTCTTAAAGAAGGGGGGGAGGGATATGGGGATATGGGGATATAGGGAAAAACAAAACCCAAACATACGTCATAGAGACAATGAGAAGCCTCGGGGAATATAAATATAGATATATCAAGGACTTGTCCTCTCACTCTCTCGCATGCGCGAAGTGAGGAGGGAATACCCAAAGTAGGGTTTGACCAGTTGTGAGTTTGGAGAGGAAGAAATGTCCAGGTCAAAATGATCGCGGGGGGGAATTGTTGCGCATGGACTATTTTTTGTCCCCCTTCCTTTTTTTTCCCCCTTCTGTTTTTCTTTTAATCTGACCTCTTTAAATAGAGTAGAATGAACAGAAGAATAAAAGAGAGAAATAAAAAGGATATAAAATAGTCCCTTCTTAAAAGGGATAGGAGGGATAGATAGGAGGGATTGGGAGGATCGGATTGCAAAGTAGGAGTATACGAATTATGTAGGGGGAAAAAAAAAAGAAAAAAGAAAAACAAAGTCCAGGGTATATCTATGTAGAGAAAGAAAAAAAGTAGAAACCAAAAAAAGAGAAGAGTCCTTTTTTAGTTCTCAAATATGACCTTTATTAGGCCCGTTGGGCATTTTTTTTTTGTGTGTGTTTTCTTCTTCTTTTTCCTTTTTTTTTGACACATTCTGCTGCCCAAACGAAAATGCCCAATATCTATCTATACTCTCTTAAAAAAATCCACTCTTCTCCATACCTTACTCCATACATGTACACTAACATCATGGAACACTCTAGACATATCTGTTTTATTAGGGTATTCTCGAATCAAAAGGCTTAGTTTTAAGCCGCCTGCATATTACTTCACTGGCGATTCAGTAGCTCTTTGGCTGCAATCAGCTCACTTCGACTCGATGCCCAATGTTGGTCATCGATCGACCGTGACTCAACAATCTCGCCCAACTTTAGAAGCGCAAAGGCCTTCAATCGTTCTAGGGTCTTCTTGGGAAGTTGACCTGATACGCCTGCGTAAGCATTGTCAAGCATCCGGCTTGAGGCCTACGGGGAAACCTGGGTTAGAATGAAATGAGTCACCATTATTTGCTGACTTACTAAAGTTAACCCATAGAATCCTCGTAGGTAGTCGTCACAAAGCTCAATGCTTCGACTGAAGTGCTGCACCGACCTCCCAAGGAGCCGGGGTGCGTCCCCATCGGAGGCGCAGACGTATAGCAGTTCACCGAGACGGGAGTGGATCTTACATTTTGATGTTAGTGACCGTAATCCCAAGATATATATATCTAGATATAAAAAAAAAGGTGCATCATGCATACATTCCAAGAGTTAGGAGCGATGAGTAAAGCCTCCTCGAGGCTAAAAATGGCTTGGGAACCCAACCCTTGAGACTGATACAAGTCGGCGAGTTCACACCAGGCTTCTGCATCAGTAGGGATGGCATCGAGGAGTTGAATAAGACCGGAGATTGCGTCGGATGGTCGGTTGAGCGAGCGTAATAATGCTACCCGGCGCTTCATGATGGGCTGTGTGTATGGTTAGTCTTTGCATGGCCCATAACCACAGGACCTGTAACCAATACTAACCACATTCACTGGACTCTGTGACAGGGTGTTGTCGTATTCCTGCAGGCATTTTTCTAGCGCCGACTGATCCTTGGCGGTTGCCTCCTCGTACAGGCCTCGAAGTCCCATAATCCTTTCATTAGAGGGTCCAAACCGGAGGCTGAGACGATTCAGGCAGGTATGTGCTGACTGGTCATCTCCCGTCCGAAGACAGGCCAACAGTAGCTGCTCTAATCGTGCATAGTAATCTGCGGTTTCTGAAGACTTGGATGAGGTAACTCCGGACCCGGATTCTTGGCCGAGGATTGCTGGTGCTTGTTGAGCAAGATGAAGAGCAGAGATCAGATCCGATCCGCTGATCTCGCGGACATCAGCGACGGGACCAGCCATAATAGACTGTCAAGAATGATATTACAGCTTCAAAAGACCTTTTCTTTTTTAAAAAAACTTGCAAGTCGAGAGCAGGGGTGATCCAATTAGGACAGATGTTGGAGAGAACAGAGTGCACCGGAGCTTAATTGGCCACAGTCCCGTGATCCGATCTCTTATCGGGGATTCCCCCAAACGCCAACTCTCCACCCCGCGGAGCTCGGGATGCTTGCACTCACTTACATCTTTCATTCTCGTCCTGAACCATGGCTGATCTGACAGCCCAATTTCTAATGCACCTCCAGTCTTGATAGGGGGCTTCATTATTATTATTATTCTTCTCTCGACTTGACCTTGTGACAATTGATAACTCTTGACACGATGTGGGCACCCCCATGTTTTTGCCCTAGATTGGCCAATCCTAATCCCAGTACCCTAGGTTCGAGAAATCGCTTTATGACCTTATCAAAGGTCTCCGGGGTCATAAGGGAGGTGAAAATGAGTACATCCAGAGTTCCTTGCGTGAATGCAAGGCCGAGATCAAAACACAAGACATGGGTACTAACTCCCACCTATTCACCCACCAATGGACTTGACGCTAATATTAAATAGACAAAAAGGCTACAGCCCTCTTGAAGCTCATCTATCTTGAAATGTTTGGGTATGACATGTCATGGGCATCTTTTCACGTTCTCGAAGTCATGTCATCCGCCAAATACCTCCAGAAAAGAGTCGGGTATCTCGGAGCAGTACAGAGCTTTCGACCAGACACTGAAGTTCTGATGCTAGCAACCAATTTGCTGAAGAAGGTTTGTACTTTGCATGGCTTCAAATTCCCCTTAGTCGCTAATGCTCTTCGCAGGATATTGTCACCTCCAGTATTCCCAACATGTCACTTCCTCTGATTACTTTGCCGCACATTATTACACCTTCCCTAGCAATGTCCTTGCTTCCTGATTTACTCTCCCGACTTTCACACTCAAGCCCTGTGGTGCGCAAGAAAACGATTGTCTGTCTTTATAGGCTTGCTTTGGTGTATCCCGAAGCTTTGAAGTTGGCCTGGCCCAAGATAAAAGACCATTTGATGGACGATCAAGAAGATGGAAGTGTCACTACTGCGGCCATCAACGTCGTTTGTGAGCTTGGTTGGCGACGACCTCATGACTTCCTCCCTTTGGCACCTCGATTCTTTGAGCTTCTGGTTGATAGCGGCAATAATTGGATGGCTATCAAAATCATCAAACTTGTTAGTCCCCCTAGCCTCCACACCCATGGAATAACTGTCTTCTGAGCACCCTCTGACTTTTCTAGTTTGCAACATTAACCCCGCTAGAGCCAAGGCTGACTCGCAAACTCCTGCGTCCATTGACGAATATTATTCAAACTACATCTGCAATGTCTCTGCTCTATGAATGTATCAATGGCATCATCCAAGGGGGCATTCTGGACGGAGAAGAGGATCTCCAGGAAAGGGACGAAGTTGCCACTCTTTGCGTTGGGAAATTGCGGGGTATGATAGTTATGGATAGTGACCCTAATCGTGAGTATCCTTCATCGCGTTTCTATATATGATCGCTGACCATCGAGGCAGTCAAATATGTCGCACTTCTTGCGTTGAACCGCATTGTTGCCACGCACCCAACGTTGGTTTCCATGCAGCAGGACGTCATTATGGATTGCCTGGATGATGCGGACGTTTCTATTCGATTACAGGCTTTAGAGCTTGCCGTTGGAATGGTCAGCAGTGATTCTCTCCAGTCAGTCGTGAACCGTCTACTAGATCAGCTGCAACAAGCCTCTGTCCCTACAGCTGAATTGATTGATTCGCCCGAAACCTCCGAAAGCCCTAAACCCCCAACCTTATGGCCCAGCGACTACCAGACTGAGGTTGTTCACCGGATCCTGGATCTTTGTTCTCAAAAGAACTACTCTGAGATTGTTGATTTTGAGTGGTATGTCGCTGTATTAGTACAGCTAGTCGGGCTTCTCCCACCATCGGAGAGTGAAGACGATTGGGGCCATCCGAAAGAGCAAGAGGCTATACCCAATTGGAGGATGAACACTGCGCTTCGAATAGGGACAGAGATTCGCAATGTTGCCGTAAGGGTAAAAGGTGTGCGCATGGAGGCCACAAGAGCAGCCGAGTCTCTCATGTTTGTCGACAACAGATCAACTTTTTTCCCATCCGGTTCAACTATCGGCGATGGTGTTTTAGGCCCTGTCGCCTGGGTTGTCGGTGAATATGCTGAATATCTGCTGTCACCTAATCGGACACTACTTTCATTGATCGACATCTCTAATGCATCGCTTCCCACCAGAAGTCTTTCTCTATTTTTGCAAGCCATTCCAAAAGTGTTTGTTCAGGTTAGCCAGACCAGCCAACCAGGAGATCTTTGGAAAAGTGAGATGTCGCTTTTACTTGCTCGAGTTGTTGAGTTCCTCGAGGGTTTGGCGGCCCATCCTGATCTGGATGTCCAAGAGCGAGCCATCGAGTTCCTAGAAGTCCTCCGCCTGGCAGCTGAGGCATTGACTTCCGATACCCAGGAAATCCCATTTCTTCTCGCCTCGGTCATACCCAACCTATTTACAGGGCTCGAACTCAACCCTGTCGCGATGAGTGCCCAGAGGAAGGTTGTCTTGCCGGATAGTCTTCGCCTAGAGGAGCCATTCAGCTACGATCTGCCAGGACTTTTCCGCAACCTGGACAGCCCATCACCGCACGAGTCAAAGTCTTGGGAAACGTCAGATTTCTATCATCTTCCTGAACTCTTGTCTCCCAACAAGCAGACTCGTGACCTTGCACCGGTTGATTTGCAGCCCCATGCGTCATATCAAGACTTTACCGGTGCTCCGGTGGAATCCTCTACTGCAACACAAAGAAGAGTGCTCGAGCGCAGGGAACGCTTCAAGGATGACCCCTTCTATATTGCTCCTTCCGGAGAGTCGACTGGCACATCTACGCCATTCCATGAAGCTTTAAACACATCCAATGGCGAGGTCTTGGACATTGATTCCATCCCCATAGTGGACTTGAAGTTGGGAGATGAACAGCTCAGCCATGTTGATTTCGATCGCCAAAGAAGTCGTCGACCCCCTGTGAGCAAATTGGTAGTTGCTGGCGATGAGACCTTTGAAACCCAAAACTCTTTGACAGACACCTCCAGGCCCAAGGGTGCTGGTGATGACCACCATACGTATAAGCGCTCTTTACTCCAAGTTGACTCGAGCAGCCTAGGAAATTTGTCCTTTGCAAAAGGCCCATCTCCGCAAGTTTCCGCAGATGAAGGGGACACAGAAATGGCCCGAGCAATGCAACAAGTGGAGGAAGTACGATTGCGGATGCAGCGAGCATCGGAGCGAATCCAACTAGAGGGCACTCCGGCAGAAGGAACACTAGTCAAGAAGAAGAAGAAGACGAAGAAGCACGTTACTTCAGACCGAGACGCCGGCACAGTGGTTGAAGGTCCTACGGAGCCTGCAATAGGGAAGAAGAAGAAGAGAAAGAAGAAGACTCCGGAATCAGAAAAGCTACCAGGCGAGAATTGAATATCTTCCAGGCCGGCGGAGTAAATCTTGCAACACGTGTGGTATTTGGCTCAAGCAGCAACAGTGAGATACAATCAAATAATACATATTTCAAAAAAAAGAAAAAAAGAGCTCTGTGACATGCGAACCATCTTGATTTTGATATTCATTTGTTTTCAAATCCATCCCTTGTTCCCTGGTCCATTGACTACTCGACGTGAGTGGGATCGGATAGGAGTATGAGGGATGGTCGATCATGCTGACTCGAAACATATCGGAAGGTTTTAAGCTAGGGTATTAGCGCAGTAGGGGAATCGTCGCTTGAAGTCCATTTTATCCTGTGATTCGGGTGAACCATGAGACCACGGTGGACCAAAGGTCAGGGACAATTCGTAGGAGCTCTAGGAGTAGACCGCCGCAAACAACAAAAGCAAGTAGCACTGGAGAATCTTCAGCATGGTTCAACTTAACAGTGGAGTTAGATACATACCAACCCAGCTTGCTGAAAGAGGCGACTTTGTGTTCTTCTTCGGTTTAATTGTGGTTGGCGCCTTTCCTCTCTTCGCGGCCTCGGTCTTCGCGAAGCGGTCGTTTGCTCGACGCTGCTGTGGTGTTTGTGCCTGGCATGTGTTAATCATCATCCATAAGATTACAACCTTTACACCTACCATGGTGGGTTATGTAGGGGAGAGATTTGAGAGAGATAGATGGATGGGGAAGGGATTGATTCAAGACGTGAATGTGCCGGCAAAAAAAAGGCCACGTTGTTTTTTGAGGAGACACGTTACTATATACATAGTACACTTTTGAGGGGAAACCCCCTGAAATTAAGTGGTTTTAATCCCTAGACTAATTGTGCTACGCATGTGCAGAATAAATTTATATATAGCTCTCAACTCAATGGATTCAACACCATACTCAAGTTGTCCTAATATTCCTACAAAAGAAAAAGAAGCTATAGACAAAAATAGATATAGAGAGAAGAGTTTGGTTTGGATCTGATTTAGTCTCCACCATAAAGTACATACCTTTCTATACTAGCGAAGATATCGGATTCTGTTCTTTTGCTGTCTACAGGAGATAGCGTCGTCCATGGATGCATACTATATGGTAGTATGGTAGTATGGATATACATGATGTGGATGTACTTTGTATACGAAATCAACATTCTAAAGGCGGCGTGGAGCAGCGGAGAACAAGGCGGTCAGGGATGACATCAGTAGACTTAGTCATCTTAGTCAGGCTCGGACCGACCTCAGGAGCCCTGCCCAGGTGTGGAGATCGACCTTGGGAGGTTGGGAGGTCAGGTACAAAAATACCTATGGTACACTTCAAGATACAACTAATTTGATGCATAGCACACGGCGTGGCCATTGGCTTGTCTTTCAATATTATTCCTACTTTGTCATGAATATCCGGCATTGTAATATCACTACACTAATGTTCAATATCCAGAATATATCGGATATCTCGATTGATTGTGTCTGTACATCAATGGGCCGTTATCATTGAAGAAGCGGCTTCCACTCGATCTGCTCACTGGCCGAGTCACCGAGAAGATCTGTAGAGCCCACACTAGTAGTCACGCCACTCCCTGGCCTATCCTGCCATGATGTGTGCTGACCAGGTGATACTGTCCCGATTTTCGCCTGCGAACTTAGTGATAGCGGTTTGCGAGGAACTGTCGGTCGGATTTTCCCCGTTTCAACCGCCTGGGGTGCTAAAGGCCCCGTGGGCGACTCAAAAGTGTCGCGTCGCGGAGGTAGCATAGGCTTCTTCCTCGTACCTTGAACAGGGTCGGTGTTTCTGTTCTTTACCGGGCCTGGGCCTCGTACCCAATCGACATCTGCAGAAAATGGATTGGATTTGCGTTGGGGATTTGGAATATACCCTTGCTTTGGTGGTTGTACTGTTGCTTTTACTGGTGCGCCTGTCATGCGTTAGCAACCCCACCATATCCACAGACCGAAAACACTCACCATTATCTAGCCACCATCGGCTTCTATCAGAGCTTGTTGGAGGCAGCCCCGGTGCGATAGGAATATATGGTGTGGTTTCGTCATCATCCAGGTCCAAAAGAGAGACAGAGTCTACGAGAGAAGTGTGACCGTGGCCCTGTTTCTCCTCGTATATCGATCGCCTGAGACTTTCTTTCAGTGCATGATCGACAATATCAATGACACAATCAAAGGTTGCCCAGACGGGGCGGTGGTCAGACACTTTCAAATCTGCAGTTTGGTAGTTTGTTTGCCGCAGATTGCTCCCTCTCCATAAGATTCGGTCACACCATGCAGGGATCCGTGCTTTCTCACTGCCATATGTTAGTTACCTCTTGGTTATATCCACAGGGTACTCACGATGTATCATAGTTGTCTCTTCCAACGTCGTACTTATAAGTCGGTGGGAACTCAATTGGGCCTTCTGAATAGAACTGGAACACTCTGCCTGCTACCATCTGTAGATTCAACTGCTGTTGTTAGACCAGCGTCGGGTGCCAACAAGTTATTTGACTTACTTGATCATTGTCGTATAACCTTTGGTAGTCTCGCTGCAAGATGAGATCTCTTACGCTTGGGTTGCCCAATCCAATTCGATAGTTGAAATCACCCAACCAGATAACTGCATCATGATCAGCGATTGACCGGTTCTTTTGGAACCTTAGCCCCCGGTCGATGATCTCGTAGTCCCTGTTTCTTTCATCGTAGTTTGCAAAGCCGGCAGCAAGATGAGCGGTAACGAAGCAAACACTCGTGTTAGAGAAGTCGAAGCGAACAGCACAGCCGCCCTTGTTGCCAGCAATCCCAGAGAGGCCGGTCTGTGGATACCGGTTAGTTGGAACAACCCCTTTAAAAATCCGGAATGACTTGAAATAACTTGCCTTCTTCACACTTCCTTCAACATTCTTGATGTACTTCAGTGAATCTTCTTTCACATAAAGTAAAACGGCAGCGCCGACCAGCTGACCACTTCTCAAGTGGACGTATTTTCCAGTCCCTTTCATCTTCGAATGGGCGTTTAAACAATCGTGGACCGCTCTTTCCCAGACCTTACGGGTGCTGGGATCGGTGGACATAATCTGCTGAGGGCTCAGAGCGACAATTTCCTGGAATCCGACAACAAAGATTGCCGGGTCTTCGTGGGACTTATCCGACTCTGGGAAAAGCCACGGAGTGAGATCAGTACCTGGGCCTTCATCGCGTCCATTCACATTGAAAGTGCCGACCCAGAACCGGACTTGTTTGCGCGAAGAATATTCTGGAGTTCGGCAATTCAACTCCTCCATAACCAAATCATTGATTGGATCGTAGAGGTATACAGGGAGTTGATTTGTTAGCCTCCCCAAGAGGAGATCAATTGTCCTCTGTCTAGCTTTGTCTGTAAAATTGTTGACATAAAGTCGAGTGGCACTCTTCCGCGCATCTGCAAGGGCCCCCGCAAGTGACATCTTTCCGTGTCGGGTGAAAGAGGATTTGAGGGCGCCAGTCCCGGCATAAATCTTCGAAAGAGCATCACCGTTGTCAGCCCAAATGGTCGAATGCCGAACCTGCATGTCTGAGCTGAGCCTGCCGCCTTGCTGCGATAAAAAGGACTCTAATGCCATAAAACTGATGATGGTCTGGACGAGGTTTGTTCTATCCAGGCAATCCAAGCAATTGGTCCGAAAAACTCCCTCTTGCTGTAAAACGACCGAAGAGCTGTTCACTGTATCATCTCTGTCGTAGGGAGTTTTGTTGGGACGACGTGAATCTTCCGACAAAAAATACGAAAACTCATCTAATGAGTTGATAAGCTCATGTTTGATCTGAGAGCTGGCTTCGTATCCCGAAGGACCTCGAGTCTCAGCAAGAAAATCATATTCGGTTAGTCGTAAGAGACTCCGACGTGGAGAGGTCCCATCGCCTTCTTTCTGTCGGGTTGAGCTCTTGCTGATGTGCTGTCGAAACTTTGACGACAACTCTGCTTCCCCAGGCTTCAGCTCACTTAGCAGATTTACCACATGTACTGCGCCATACTCCAACTCCAGGGATTCAAAATGTTTGTTGAATGCGTGCTGGGTTGCGTCGCTCGACCGCGTGACCTCGATCTTTTGCTGGCCCGGAATGAGGCCTGGGGCTTGTTCCCAGAAAATAGGCACCGAGCCTCGGACTTGAGCGTATGAAAATACAATGCCCGGTGAAACCCACAGAATAGTTTCGGTTTCCACAAAATTGGCAACATTCCCATCATCATCAATGCCCCTCGAGTTAAACCTCGTACCAGCACGGCGAGAAGCTTGTCGGGATATGATTGTCAACATCGAAGGGAAGTTTGTCCGCACATGAGGAAGGATTGAAACCGTCGCTGGTACCTTGAGTGTACTGGCAAATCCACGGATAACACAAGTTAACATCTGCGATGCATCTAATTTGGCCTTATCGGACGGTGGCAGGTGGCTCCGGAACAAGAGAAGCGGACTGATCATGTAAGAATTCCACAGCATATCTTCATCGAGGGTGTCGATGTCGAATGCCATAGGTTTGTTAGCCCTTGCAATATTGTTAGTTGAAGGAGATCGGCTAGTGAAGAGAGCAAGGAGCTGATAGCTTACCGGTCTTGCAGGCGATCTGTGAGGTTGAAATCGAGACTGTAATAGAAAGTTCCATCTCCAAGGAGCTTCTTCAACGCCAGAAAGGGATGGTCAGTTACCACATCCTTCCCATCAGTGCTAAGTCCCTCCTCGGCGGCGAATTGAGACCCGGTCTCATGGTCTAGGCCGTACTCGTATTCTGAACGGTTGAGACAATCTGATATCATTAGCAATAATTCGGTCAGAGGGTTGCACGGGAAACACACAGAAGCCTACATTGTCAATTCTTGACACGGTTTCTCCAGGTCTCACAGTGGCAGCTTGCGAGGAGCTGGTGACGACGCAGACAAACACATCTTCGTTGAGAGTAACAAGGCCAAGGGTACCATGTCCATATCCTAATGGCCTATAGCCTTTCAGGTCCACTGCCTCTAAATCCGAGAACTCAACTTGACAGCGTGGGCTGTCCTTCGCACTGGTATCTGTCGACGTGTAGTGGAACACTAGGGCATGTTCTGACGAGACCAGTGCAATTGTACGTTGAGGTTGATCTCGACAGAGAACCCGGAGATTCGACATGACGCGAGAGAAATCAGAGTGCGGGGAGAAGCAATGGCATTGCTTACTTCCACATCAATAGTTTTATCCTATTTCGGCGATTTATATATCCCAGAGAAGAACGACTTCACCCCAAGAGCCAGAACAAAGCGAAGAAATACCTTCAAACCTTCAATATCCTCAACGAAATATTTGATAATGACAACAATAATATAAGAATTATTGTTGAGCTGAGGTGGAGTTGTTAAGAGCTCCCCGATGTCTCTTCTCCCCGCGAGGTCGGCGGGAGAGCCCTGGGTATCGGGAGGCCTTATCAGTTGCTTACTCATCCCGCGCCTCAACTTTTTTTTTTTCTTTAATTCTTCGTCGATCTCCAACAAACACTTCTCTGCTTGATTCGATATTGTCGCCATGGGTTTAGCAGGGCCGCGGAAGTATGCGACTGAACTCAATTATTTCATACATGATTTTCTAACGCGTGAATAGGAGTACCAAGATCGGCAATGATCCCAATAATACCAACTGGACCCGGTCCACAACCGGGTTCGGACACCGGATCATGAGCTCTCAGGGCTGGACTCCTGGAAGTCTTCTGGGAGCAAAGGACGCCGCGCACGCCAATTTGTTGACCGCCGCCAGCGCTTCCCATATCAAAGTCACCCTCAAGGACGATAACCTCGGATTGGGTGCTCGGATTGGACGAGAGAGTGAGCCGACTGGACTTGATGCCTTCAAAGGATTGCTTGGTCGACTCAATGGCAAGAGCGAAGTGGAACTGAAGAAGGATGAACGAAAGCGTGATGACGTTCGATTGGCTCGATATGCTGCCCTGAAATTCCCAGAAGTCAGGTTCGTCAGCGGTGGACTGTTGGCACAGGAAAAGGAAACCGAGATTCCTCCGCCGACCCCTAAGGACGCAACGCCCAAGAAATCCAAATCCAACAAGAAAGAACGCACAAAGACCACCGAGGATGACGAAACCTCTTCAAGCGAATCGGATGCCCCAGCTCGCAAATCCAAGTCTAAATCCAAGTCCAAATCCAAATCCAAGAAATCGCGCTCTCGAGACGAAACCGATGGCAACGAATCAAGCTCGGAATCAAAGAAGAAAAAGAAGTCCAAGAAGAGAAAGGCTGATTCCGAGCAGAGTGATTCTTCAGACAAGACATCTGAACCGGAAGTCAAGGTAGCAACAACAATATCCAGGGAGCGGCGGCCTATGGGACGGAATGTCACTCGGTCACGCCATATTGCCCAGAAGAAGAGAGCTATTATGGACGACAAGTCTCTCAACGAGGTAAGCTATGCAGCAACTATTTCCCATGATCTGTTAGCTAACATGAACCAGATCTTCATGATCAAAGCATAGAGTTTATGCAAATCTGCATCTGAAGCGCATTGGACATAAAACTTGGAGTTATTTGGTGTTTGCACTTTTTATGATTTCCCGTTTTGAACTAGATATATCCTACTATGAATCAAAAGAATTCCAAAATTAAACATGGTGTAAGAGTGATAATCCGATACATACTATGTACCTAGGTACTCCGTACATCAGGGCTGATGACCAGACATGGATTACCTAAGATGGCCCGTTTCCGGGTGCCTTGCGGTATCCACATCCACCTATGCCCCGAATCGTTGATTGCTCGGCATTGGGGGTGCACAATCCTGACTCACACCTTAGGCGAAGTTGTACAGATCACTTACATCGAATCCTCGACGGAGAGCTCGTTCCGGGGTCCCACTGCAGCCCCGATAATCTCCTGCAATCTACATGAGCTTTAGCATCTCTCGCATTGCCACGACCCGAACCGAGATAGGGACCTGTGCAGAAGTTCTGTCACCACAGAGGGGTGTTCCTCCTCCCACTCAACAATGAACGGAGAGACTCGGTCAGCTGGACATGCCGCGGCGCCTACATCTCAGTCGAGTCGCGGAAGAAGACGGTAAGACACGTCCAACAACTCTTCAATTTACCCATAACTGACCCAATATAGCATACACTGGGCGCCTTTGAATATTGGTCTTGAGAGACGCTTACAAACATTTGTGGTGCTATGCCACACTTTGACCATCGCTATCTTCCTGACTAGCTTCTTCTTTACCTGCGCCATTCCGTTATCCTGGCCACTCTTGGTCCCATATCTCGTTTACATATCTCTTTTCTCTACTGCTGCTACATCGGGCCATCTCAAGGGACGTAGCCCATTCCTGCGCTCACTTCCTATCTGGAAAGTGTATGCATCTTACTTCCCTGCTCGTCTTCACCGCGAGGAGTCACTTCCACCTACAAAGAAGTATATCTTTGGATACCATCCACATGGTATTATCTCTCATGGCGCGTTCGCCGCATTTGGGACGGAAGCCTTGGGCTTCTCCAAGCTTTTCCCAGGAATCACCAACACTCTGCTCACGCTGGACGCGAACTTCCGCATTCCTTTCTACCGAGAATACGCACTTGCCATGGGACTGGCCAGTGTTTCCCGGGAATCCTGTGAGAATATCCTCACCAAAGGAGGCGTAGATGGAGAGGGCATGGGGCGAGCGATCACGATCGTCGTGGGAGGTGCCCGGGAATCTCTCAATGCTCGGCCTAATTCCTTACGTCTCGTGTTGAAGCGACGCAAAGGGTTCGTCAAGCTTGCTATTCGAACGGGAGCTGATTTGGTGCCTGTCTTGGCATTTGGTGAAAATGACCTCTATGATCAAGTAGACTCAGATCAGCACCCGATCATTCACAAGCTTCAGATGCTTGTAAAACAGACTTTAGGATTTACCATTCCCCTGTTTCATGCACGCGGGGTTTTCAACTACGATGTCGGACTGATGCCCTATCGAACTCCTCTCAATATTGTGGTCGGACGACCAATTCCGGTCATGCAGCAGCAGAGCCGCGACAAGATCAACGATCAGTACATTGATGAACTCCATTCTCGATATGTGGAGGAGCTGATGCGGATGTGGGATCAGTGGAAAGATGTCTATGCCAAAGACAGAGAAGGCGAGTTAGAGATCATCTCATGATAACACACCCACCTCTATGTATACGGTTTGACCAGTCTACTATGACAACATGGGAATATTTTATGGGCATATTATACAGCCCATGGCGAAATAAGCCAGAAACAAAACCATACACTCGATCTCCAATGTAGTTCGGATTAAATATACACGCAAGAAAGTAAACCTATGAATTGGGTATCAGATCAAACAAAATCAAAGAGCTTCCGCAAAAGCATTAAAAAAAAACAACACATCGAGACTTTCATCCTCGGAATGGCGAGCTGAGGTTTGGATCCCATGAGGCAGCAGTTGGGTTCAGACCTGGCACTTCCGCTGATGAGGATACTCGTCGGCTTTCACTAGCAATGCTCCTGTTCTTAGTATTGTGTCCACTTTCTGCTCGAACCTGGATCATTTCCTCCAGCATGCGTGAGACCTCGTCCATATTCTTCCCCGCGTCCTCTTTTTCACTTCTACCGGACAAGGGACGCTTGCCTGGACTTTCAGACTGTGCAATGAAGCCGTTGGTCCCTGCAAAACTGTCTACATCTCCAGCAGTAGACCCATTCTTGCTCTTCAACTCCTCTGGTGACTGCGACTCATTGGTCACAGCAGCCAAGTCTCGATGCCGAGCTGCGGATCGAAGTGCTGCAAGCATGCGATCCTTATCATCAAGCTGCAATCGGAGCTCATTGATCTCCATATCTTTCTCGCGAACCACAGCGGAGACATCTGGATGCTCGGCAATTGTGGCATTTGCGGGCTTAATGCCCCCGGACATTCGGGAATGACTGGACCGTCTTGCCTGGAGCAGCCGGCGCTCTAGGGTAGAGATGTAACGGTTCTTATCACCGAGATCAGCCTGCAGCGCAGTGACCTGTCGTTGCAAGCTGGCTTTGCCATCGCCAAATTCACCAAGGTCATATTCGTCCTCGTTGCCAAACGATCCTGCCGGGTATAGCATAGTCGACGAGGGATCGTTGCTATTGACAGACATGAATGAGATGGGCCGAATCGATGAATGGCCGGCACCCAGTGTAGATTGGCTGGCGGAAGAACGTAGTGACCGCGTACCCGAATCCGTTGCAGACATGCGGGAAAGACGTCCGAACGCAGAGAGGCTGTTATGGTTGTTTACACCGGTGGACTTGGAGCTCAGAATCAGGCGATTGAGATGCTCGATCCGCTCTTTGAGCGCAGTCCGAGCCAACTGCATTTCCAACACCTGTTCCTCGTGTCGGGCCTGTGCTTCCTTTTCATACTGCTGTTCGTCCCATTTGAGTTCCTTCTCCGCCTGGGATTTGGCCTGGGTGTCAAGCTGACCGCGAAGAGCCTGGATCTCCATACGATATCGTTCAAGCAGTACCCGACTTCCGGAATCACCGCCACCACCGCCGTATGCCTCCTCGGCCTTTTTAGCATGACTGACAATATTATTCTTCGCCCGCGCAGCGAATTTCATCGTATTCAGAGTTTCACCGGTATGCGAATTGACCGCGCTCGTGAATTGAATAGTGCACAGAATACTCACAAGCGAGCCACCGGACAAGGCTGGCTGCAGGAGTCTGGTCAACTTGCTATCCCGGTAAGGCAAATGCCTCCCATCGCGGTCCGTGGGGTTGCCTTGCTTATCCTTGTTTTCCGACAGCCGAGAGATGATGGTGCCCAGAGTGAGCAGACTTTTGTTGATATGAGCACCTTCTGTGCGGCGTTCCTTATCCTCAGCTGCACGCTCGGAGCCAGCCAGATCAATCAGACTCAGGGTTGACACTCGCACACCACCCGGGGCGATCCCGGAGCGCTTATCTTGAGAACTGCCCGAGGGCACTCGCTCTCGACTCTCGACCACGATCTGAACCACCGCGTGACTTCGAGAACTGCGTGCATTGAACTGTGTGCTGCTCGTTCGTCGTGCATGGTCACCTCGGGCGATGACACGAAGGAGTTGTGTCGGGCTCTGGACGATCTCTTCCTTGAGCGGCGTTGCATATACTCCTCGTTTGCTGTCCTCTCTCAATTTGATTTCCTCCTGCTGGGCTCCGGCGGGCGCGTTGGCAGCGGAAGCGGAAAGGAGGTCGTTAATCTTCTCGTTGTAAATTTCCAGATAGCTGACCCGCAGCAAGAACTCCCGATGTGGGGTCTCTCTGATGAAAGAAAAGATGTCGGTGATTGCGAGCGGGATTACACCGGGGGAAGTTGCCGTTCCCTGCATAGAGAAGGTCTTTCCAGTTCCCGTCATACCATATGCAAAGACCGTTCCATGATAACCCTCCATGACACGCCGGACAAGACGTTTGGCAGCCGAATCATATACCTTGGCATTGTTTTCTTGTGGATTAAAGACATTATCTGCTCCCCAGTTAGTTATGACGAGTGGACAAGTGAGTTCAGAGGAATATCATCCTCACCATAAAAGTAATCGCCTCCTTCTTTCCCACGGTATGAGATGAGGCTTTGCCGACTATCGACGGACCATTCGCCATGGTTTCGGGGAGTCTCCCCTCCGCTGTTGTTGTCGGGACGAACGCGCACGCTGACCAGCACATTTCCCTTGATCTCCTTTGGCTTCGAGATTGATTTCCCCGTCGCATCATCTGCATCCTCAAAAGTCGTCGCACTCGTTGAGCACGATCCTTGGGCGGAAGAACTTCTGCTGTGCGTTGGAGACGCCTCTGGATCTCGCGCATCACCACTTGATATGAATTTCCCCTCTCCACTACCGTTGAGTAATGATGGAGTTTTCGAGCTCCGATAGCTGCTCGTAGTTCCTGTGCTCAGTCGCGAGCTTCTTTGGGGTCGCACACTGGAAGTAGCACCTTGGATCCCAGAGAGCGATGATGCAGTGGACGGACGACTGTTGGCCTTTGGTGGTTGAGGGAATGAGGCGATACTAATTGTTCGGCGCAAAGATTTATCGGGGCTACCAGGAGTGCGCCCACCGGAAGCTGACCGGGCCGCATTTAGGTTGGAGGTTGAGTTGGAGGTTGATAGAGGTGACTTGAGCGATGATGGTTTGGGGCTGGATGGGGTCCGTAGTTTGGAGGTTTGGTAGGGGGATGCGGCCCGTGGCGTGTCGGAACCCGTAGACTTTCTGGGTTTAGAGTTGGGGAGGGGGGTTAATGATGAAGGGTTTGGAACTGGCCGCGACAGCTGCGAGGGCTGTGGCAATGTTGACATTGAGGCCATGGTGAATTTCTGTATCTCTTAACGCGAGATGGATGTATTTAATAGGAATAAGTGAACGCGGTGGCCATGCGGGCAGATTGATGAGGTTGAGTCTGTACCTTTTTTTTTTTTCCGAAGTTAGCCAAATGAATGAGACATGAGGATTGGGCTCTTGACTGGGACCGTGAGAGAAACGGTGATTCCACAGTTTTTCGCCTCGGAGATCTTCAAAATGTACATAAACACGATGTTATGATTTAGGTCTCGGGTACTCACAGATTCAAACGTTGCAATCGCGACGTTCATAGGAAGAAGTGGGGAGATGAAAATAAAAAAGAAGATACACAGAGAGAGAGAGAGAGATACAGAGACGCGACGCAAAGATGCAGAGACGCCTAAGAGAGAAGAGAAGAAAAAGGCGTCACAAAATAATCCCCGCAGAAAGTCGGGGCTAGACTACTTGTATTTTATATGTTATATTCTTATTTAATAGGTCTATTAAATAGGTCTATTAAATACCAATTGTATATCTTTATCTCCTCTTCTCCTCTTCTCTTCTCTCCTTCTGTTAATCCCCCTAGACTTGCTATAATACCTTAGGAAGTGCAACATACTCTTCTTCTCCTATATACCCATAGAATCAAAGTATTAAAAAAAAAGGGGGGGGATACCAAAACAATCACACCTTTTTAGACGTAAACCGTAGGGGGGATTCCTTGGGAAGCTCGGGGCATCTGGCCCGACAAGTGGAGGTTTCAGGTTCGGGAAGTCGAGGGAAAAAGGGGGCGAATGAGATGGCTAAGTCTGTAGTTCTTTTTTAGGTGGACCCCAATCTCATTATTTTGACTTGAAAGGTAGGATCTGGGAGATCGGGAATGGAGGCCCTATGGTCCTTTGGTCCTGCTGTCCTGTCCTGTGCCTGTTGTCCTTAAAGGGTTGAAGGAGTATATGTTGTACAAGGTCTCCCTATAAAGGTGAAGCTTGGGATGAACTCCTGTTCGAGACCCAAAAAAGATAACGGCTATGATTCGAATCCAGCAAAGATTGACGTCTAAACCAAAAAAATTAAAATTAACCTGGCGTTGATCCTCATTTACGTCCCGTTATCCCGTGACCCGTATAACTACATCTAATTTGTACATCTATCTACATCTTCTACATCTTCTACAACATACAAAGTACAGAATATACACATCTATTTGTTATCTGGAGAACCTTATTCTCTTTCTCCAGCCTCTCAATCTGGAAGGAATACATCTAGGACACGCAAGGGAGCCTATATTCGGAGAACAGGCTTTGATGGTTTGTAGCCCTAACTCGATTGAACAGTGCGAACAGTGCGATTAGTACAACATGACAGGTTGATGATCGTAGGGGAAATCTATACCGTTTCCCCCACTGGATGATTGTCTTTCCACTTCCACTAAGCTATCATTGTTGACTGGATAACAATCCAATAGTTGCTGCAGATGTCGATGCCATGCATATCTAGTGTCTCGGCTGAGGTGGCAACCATTAATAATACTATTATTAGCGTGCTTTTCTTTGTCTATATTGTACATCGTAGTTATATTGTTTTTTGTCTTTATTATGTCATTATTTCATACCGAAATCCAGTTGCCGGGCAGCACTCTTGAACATGCCCTCATCCAGCTCACCACCACGTCGGGTCAAATCATCTCCCATCTTTTTAGTCCCACCAGATTTCCGTGGGAGATCTTCATTCATGGTCGGACGTGGTTCAATTGTCCACCAGCTGTGTCGCAGGCATTGGACAGCCGTACTGCGCTTGCGTGGGTCAAGCGCACACATCGACATCAGCAGATCGGCACCCACCGGACCTGCAGTGGGGAACTGTCGCATGAAGAAATCGCGCCCTTGCAACGGCACCAAATGGGCCTTGTCGGTGGCAATGTAGTAGGGCAACTTGCTGACCCCGGGCCAATTATCCTCCGTTGGTGTGCCGAACGCCTCGCAGATTTTGGAGGTTTGATCCAGGTCGGTGTTGCCCGCCACAAATGGAACCCGCAGCAGGAGCTCGGCAAAGACCATCCCCATGGACCAAACATCGACCGCGCCGGAGTATTGTCGCGCACCGTAGAGAAGCTCGGGTGGCCGATACCACCGAGTGATGACCTGATGGGTCATGTTGAACAAGGGATCGGCAAAGGATCTGGCGAGACCGAAATCGGCCAATTTGACCTCCCCATCTGACGCGATCAACAAGTTGTTGGGCTTGATATCCCGGTGGAGAACAAAGTTCTCATGACACCACCAAACACCACGGGCCAGCATCCCCATCCAAGCTTTGATATCAGCCACGCCGTAGTGAATATCACTATCTTTGATGAGCATCTCAAGATCTCCACCGGGAAGAAACTCAAGGACCAAGCTTAGATTTTGATCCTTGGAGGAGAAAACATCGTGGAGCGCAATGACGTTGGGATGTTTCAGCTCTTGAAGGTACTTCACTTCACGAACCGCATCCATAGCAAGCCCATCCTTGTATTCGGCATTGACTTTGATCTTCTTGATTGCGACGAGGGATGATGGATCGTGTCGGAGGTGGCCAACATATACCACCGCATATGTACCTTCTCCTACTTTCTTGTCTAGTTCTATGTTAGCATACCGGTCCTTAGAAAACAATACAGCAGATGTTCAAATACCTTTGACGTATCGTTCCCGGACATCAATATTCAGTTGTTCGGTGAGTTCGCGATCCCCATTCTGCACAGGCTTTGATACAGCTGCAGCCGTAGGCCCAGTAACTGCATTCTGTGCAGCAGTAGCTCTCAGCCTGATTGCCGTATTTGGGGAATGCACTGTCATGGATGGTGAACGAGAGCCAAAGGGTGAGAGTGCCATGATTAGAGTTGGTCTGAAGCAAAAGGTCAAACTCTAGAGAGCGACAAGAAATTAAAAAACAGCCACAGATACTCAGTGGCTACTATAAATATTAAGAGATCATCTTTAGCAAAATATCTTTTGAGGTGAAGGCAGCAGTGTCGAAATATGAGGGCCGATGTCATTCCCCCCAAGATGGGCTGGCCCGGAGTATTATTGATCCTGGACTTTGCTGGCGACTCCCGAAATTTCTCCAAGTCAGTCAACAGCGACCCCCAGCCAATTCCTCGGCAACTGCTGGAAACCCGTCAATTTCAAAGGCATCGCTCAGCAGTTCTCCTCATTGGTACCACTGCGAATCCAATTTTCTGAAAAAGCACAAGAGTTACCAGCAAAGTCGGGGCTTGCGGCATCCTTCCCGCAACACCTTTACTATGAGCGTCATGGCAATGCGCAATTCACCGCTGGGCAGCTTGACAGCGCGCCTATTCAAGCCTGTGTCAATTTCCAACCAATACATTCGATCACTCCACAACAACGCACCCCGGCCAGTGCCATCTCCGACCCCTTTCGTTCCTGACGTCCAGACCTTCCTCACGCTGATTGGCCGTGAAATGTCCAAGCAAACGAGCAAGATCCCCTCATGGGAAGAACTTTTTACCTTAAACTCCAACCAGCTCCGCCAAGCCGGCATTGAGCCAGCCCGCCAGCGACGGTACCTGATCCGGAAGCGCGAGAAGTTCAGGAACGGATTGTACGGCCCTGGAGGTGATCTGGAGACTGTGGTCGATGGTGTTGCACAATTGCGGGTTGTTGAAGTGCCTATTAATGCCAGAGGCCTGACACATGGAGGCACACAAGCGGCCGTTCAAACTTCTTCTGCTACACTGTCACCCGGCATGGTGAAAGCCATTGTCAACCTGGCGCCCGATGTCACTACATATCAGTATGGCAAAAAACAACTGATCAAGAAATTTGCGCACATGAAGATTCACCGTGGCTGTCAGCCCATGGGTCCGTTCCTTCAGCCTTTGAAGGGTTCCAATGGTACTGCTGCTACCATTTCCGTCCAGGAGGGCATGTGGGAAGACAAGCGGGGACAGAAGGTTGATGGTGGTGAGCGACGGCGCCGGGAGGTCCAGAACAAGAAGAGGTTGGATGAGAGAAAGAAGGCGTGAATGTGAACGGTGAAATACCACTTTTGTGTATCTTGCATATTTCTTGTTGAGCCTGAATGTTCAAATTCGAACTGTACCATACTATTGCTATACTATTGCAATCATGATTTCCTTTTCATATTATTTAGGTATTTTTTGGGGGAGATAAGTGAAGTGTTTGTATGATGTTTGATTAAAATGATAGGATTGAGGTATGTAAACATTGAGAGAAACATGCGATTCAAAGTCGCGAGAAGTGGATATTCATACAGCAGAATCGTTTCAAAGTGAAGAAAGAAAGAAATCCATGATGCGACAGCTGTCAAATCCACTAGGTGAACTTGGGCTCAAGTTCAGTCTGAACATTTGCTGCATCAATGCAGGGCATTAAAATAATTTGAATGGGAATCTTTTCTAAAACGTAACTCCGATCATGCTTTGACTCCACGTTTTTCGTACTGAACAAAGGATGTACCCAGGGGCTTGGAGAAGAGGGACTAGAATATGGTCAGTCAAATGCCAAGTTGATCGTGATAGAGCATCACTTACCGAATAATCCGTCTCAGGGAAGGGTATATCAGCGCTAGGCTTGGAGAACTTGAAGTGTCTCACCAGCGCAGCCAGGATTGTGCCCAGCTGCACATAGGCGAACTGCTCACCAATGCAGCGATGGCGACCAGCACCGAAAGGCAGATAAGGACTGTTGGTGCCCTTGGTAACCAGTCCATAACCATAGTCGATCTGCTCCTCATCTTCATCCTTGGTGGTATCAGTTCCAGCCTCATCCCAGCGGTGGGGGTTCCACTTCAGGGGTTCGGGGAAGAACTCCGGAGAGCGAGCAGTAACACCGGGAGAAGAGAGGACATTGTGAGTGGTAGGGATAACATAAGAAGTGCCTTCCACAGGCATGGGGTTCTTGACGGCGCGAATGATCGAGTGGATAGGAGCGTGGATACGAAGGGTTTCCTTGATCACCTTGGAGTGCAAGTCGAGCTTCTGGAGTCCTTCGTGGGTGAGAGGAGGCAAGTCAGAGCCCAGAATCTGGAGTTGTTCTTGGTAAAGCTCCTCCACAATCTCAGGGCAGGTGGCCAGACGCAGAACAATCCAGGCAGCAGTAGAGGACGAAGAGTGCTGGCCCGCCATAAGCAACGCAATCATCATGTGGGCAATTTCCTCATCGGGAATCGGGGTGCCATTCTTGTAGGTGCACGACATCAAGTTCCAGACCATATCCTCAGAGTCCTTCTTTTCACCAGATGTCCGGCGCGCCTTGATGATATCCATGTATGTCTCGGTCATCTTCTTCTGTGCAGCATCGCGCTTGCGGTTGTGGGGGAGCGGGGCCCATGGCAGCATAAAGTTGATAGGAGCGAAACCCTTATCGAGGTCGTGGTACATTTCAGCAAAAGTCGAGTCAAATCGATCGCGGACTTCCTGTCCTTGCAACGAGCGGGAGGCTGTGTAGATTGTGATTTCGGCAATGACCTTGGAAACATTGAAAGTACCCTTAGGGTCCTGGAAAGCGGGGGAATTCTTCACGAAGTCATCGACCTCATTGGTGATCAAGTGGACGTAAGACCGAAGTGCCTCGGAAGTAAGACCAAATTTGACAAACTAGGCAACGGTTAGTAGCCGGGCTTTTTGGTGTATTCCATTCCTTCATACCTTCTTCTGCTCCATGAGCTTAGCATTGGGGCAATCGTAGACGACGTGACGACCGAAGACGGGGGTGGTGAGGGGGGAGTAAACTTCTTCGGCGTTCACATCACGAAGCTTGCCATTGAGGATGAACTCGTTGCCCTTGGTGCCTAGGTAGACGGTGGTCTTCTTGCCCAGGAGAATGAAAGTGAAGATGTCGCCATACTACCAACGTTTAACCCCAATTAGCAATTGCATTCTTCTGTGGGCCAACCACACATCTACCATTGACATACCTTTGCGCGGGCCTGGTCGAAGAAGTTGTATGGGTCCATGCCATAGCTGATGGTGCTTCCAACAAAGGGGAACCAGTGGAAGACCACGGGGGGTTCATAGGATTTCTTGAAGAAGAGCTGGCGCAGCACATTGACCACGACTGATAGTGCAATGAATGACAGTGCTCCGACACTGGCCAAAGTGTAGATTGACTGGGTCGAGCAATGCTCGCAGAAGGTTGCGAGGAAACTTGCGAAGAGGCCCATGTTGTCAGGAGGCAAAGGAGAGAGTGAAAGAGGAACAGAAAAACAGAAAAGAAAACGGGCTCACAATGACCCTATGACCCTGTTTGTTAGCCTCCAACTGAATTTATACAAAAAGAGAGAAGATGGTTGAAGATCAAATAGGAGGCGAGAGAGGAAAATAATTAAGTCCGATATCATTCGGCGAGAGTGACCCGCCCCTTTACTATTCCGTATTATGGTCTAGAATAGATGTGCCAAGGATCTAATTTGAATCGTACGTTATTTTATTTTATGTCTTTATTCTATATTACTCTATATTACTGTATTGCTCTATTTCATGTTTTTACTTTATGTATTTATCTCTATGTTGTATGTGTTATGCCTAGTACATATTAGTATAGTAGTATGGCTATATAAGGCACATCACGCCACTCCGGTCAAGGGGTTCCCGGTAACTGATGGGACGTTGGATATTATTTTGACTATTACGGAATACTACCTACATACTACATATTTATGCATAGTTAGTTATTTTGTAAGACTAATTGTACAGTATCATTTCAGCGCCTGATTTTGACCTAACTATACATGAATCCTTTTGACACGCCCCTAACCCTGATAATGATATCCCCCAAACGCAAAAGTCAATAAGAATAATCAAGTCGTACAAAGCCACAGCACCCCTTAATTGTCGTACAAGGTGGGATCGCCACGTTCTCCAATGTTGATGAAATCTTTCGGGGCCCGGTTGCCACTGGGTGAGACTTCACGTTGAGACGCCTTGGCTGGTCGGTTGTGGACGCGCTTCCCGGCTTCATTCCGGAATACTTTGACCGGTTTCTCGCTGCCTTCGGCATGCTCACTAAAGTGAGCATCGTTGATGCTACTCAACAGGGTCCGCTCCCGTTGAATCTTGCGCTTAGAAAAGTCCAGTTTACCAAGGGCCCCCGTCAGGCCATCTGTGCTGTCAGTCACACTCGGGTAATTTCCGGTCATCCAAGGATGCTCAAGACACTCATCCACGGTGATTCTCTTGTTGACGTCTACGGTAAGCATCCTGTCGATTAGATCCAGAGCGGGATCGCCAACAGAGTCCCAGTACGGTGCCGGGTAGTCAAACTTGCCCATCTTGATCTGCTGGGCGAGAGTAAATGGGTTCTCTGGAGTGTTCAGTTCATCCGAGAACGGCGGGAAGCCACAGAGACAGATGTAGAGAACAACACCAAGGGACCACACATCCACAGCCTTGGTATATTTTCGGTGGCGGGTATCTTGCAAAATCTCCGGGGCAACGTCTGCGAAATTAGTACCCACACTGAGGTTTCGAGGTCCATATACTTTGATACTTACAGCTTGGTGTACCGCAGCTGAAAGCAAATGTTAGCGATCATTCACATTGACACGGAGAGGCTTTCACCTACAGGGTCGTCGTGAAAGATTCTTCCCCAATAATCTTAGCCAGCCCAAAGTCACCCAATTTCACGTTCAAATTCCTGTCCGCAACCAGGATATTTTCTGGCTTGATATCTCGATGCACGATTCCTCGTTCGTGCTGATGACACGTTAGCTGACCCAGTACTGTATATGTGGACTTTTGATATGCGTACCAGATATTTCAACCCGTCAAACAGTTGGCGGAACACACCGCGAGTTTCATCCTCGGTCATTTTCTGATTGTTCACAATCCAGTTGAACAATTCTCCCTCGGGTGCCAATTCAAGTACCAAATAAGCGCCATCACTTTCATCAAAAGGTTCCTTGAGACACAGTAGATTCGGGTGATGAACACCCATCAACAACGCAATCTCCTGTTGCAGAGCATTGTCGTTCTGTGACTTTTGCGAGTCACTGAGGCGTCTTTCAAAGACTTTGACTGCATACTTGTCTCCGGTAGATCGTTCAGCACACAGATAAACGGTTGCAAAGTGGCCTTTGCCGAGCTGGTTGAGAATCCGGTATTGATGACGGAAACCATTCGTTTCCCGAGTACGGGGGTAGCGGAAGACAAAACGGGCTTCATTCAGAATTGAAACTTCATCGCCGTCCTCCAGTTCCCGGTGCTTGTTACGCCCAACAATGGCATCATTAACAAATGTTCCATTGCTAGAGAGATCCTCCAGCACAGCAACCATGTCGCCTTTCTTCTTTTCGGCAAAAATGAGGAAGTGCCGGTTTGAAATTGTGGGAATTTCAAGGACGCGATCTGACTATAGTCAGAACAGACACTCGACGACCATCAAGCTATCACTTACCACACTCAGGATGACGGCCGACCAAGAAGCCACCTGGTGACTTAGCGCTCTTGGGTTTTGGGGGCTTTTTCCCCTTGGATTTGGCAGTACCATCATCATTATCGCAACCATCGCGCTTCCTCAGCACAAGCGGGCCATTCCCGTTCTCATCCAGTGGTAGCAGGTAGCCCCAGACCCCTTCGGCGTCCTCATCCTTCACATCGTCTGCGAATGCTCTGGGTGGATACACGAACTGTGAAAGAGCCTGGGTATCCTCCAACGCTGGCGGCGAGGAAGTCGCGTGCGACAATTCGGGTTGGGATGAGATTTGTTGATGGCTGTTGCGAGGGCTTTCGGGGGGTGTAACAGTCAGCTCGTCCCGAGTCTCTGTGGCAGCAGATTGAGGACCGGTGATTGGGGTTGGCAAGTAATCCAAGTCGACTGGCGTGTCTTGTGGTTGGACTTGACTCGAGATTCTTTGAGACCGTCGAGGTTTCTTTTGGTCTTGTGAATCTGCATCGACCGTAGCCTAGAACCCCTGTAAGCAAATGAGTGGCGCCAAAAGGAATGAAACGCACCCTTCCTCGCTTGAGCGAGCTTTTCTCACGGGGAGGCATAATACAGGCTGTTATCACCCTGACTGAGTGTTCCAGACCAATTAGCGATAGTTGTCGGACAATTCAACAATGGCAGGAATGTCAATAAAGACCTTTTCGATTCTGCACTGAAGAAAATACACAATTAAAGATGGGGGGAAAAGAAGTAATGAAGAAAGATATGTGGAGAATAAGTCTATAGCTTTGCTCGGGGGAAAGAGACCTGGAGAAAGCTCTCTCTTTCCCCCCTGGTGGCTCTCTCCGCCTCAAAATTGGCAAGGGCAAATATATATGTGATCTATGTTTACATATATATTATATTGAAGTGCTAAGACTATTGAATCTGTAAATAATATATAATATAATATAACATATAAATCCTAGAGTATAGTATGCTTCATGTCAACAAATAATAGGTGTTCGGACCTAGGTTCGCGTCTCGAGACACGTGCTGTCTCCTGACCTCATTCTCCGGGGTTCTCAATTCCCAACCTTCTAAGCTTAGGCCCTTAGGTTCTTCACAATGGACGGGTATGTGAGATTATTCAATGTCTGGGGATCATGCTAATGGACAATCAAAGCCTCTCAGGTGGAATTAGACGTTTCGCTTTCGAAAAGCTCGCTGCGTTGGCAGTTGAGGCGCCTGCCAATGGATCGGAGCTCGTTCGCCTCGCGGAGCAGTCTCGATCGACCTCCGAGCCTGATGGTGCTCTGAATGGAGTCCTGAGACAACAGGCCCCGACATCCCAGGTTCCGATGGTGTGTCTCTTTATTGCTGCCGACCCCCGGTAGTGTAGTGGGCGCGGGCTAACGTTTGGCCAGGGAATCCGCGAACTAGATGTCCTCCTGGCCCTATGCAAAGCGGCCTCCACGGTAAACGATCCAGAAAATGCTGCTCAATTGGCATCGCAACTCTCTCAATACCTCCCGGAATCCCACAGCCAACTATTTCGGTCCTCGCCCTTCCTCCATGGTGTAAAGCCGTCGCCTTGGGAGACTCTCACGAACAACCTGGCTCTCGCGCTTTTGTCGTTGGGAACTAAGTATCCAGACTTGCGACAGACGGCCCTCGACGCTGTGCATGGATATTTGAACAACTGCGCCGAGGCTATCAATGCGGTCACACCTTTCCAATACTCTAGATCTGAGGCGGGGCGACAGGGCGTTATACATGAATCTGTTGCCGTTTTGTCAATCGCCGTTTCCCTTGTTGGGTTTATGGAAGCCTCTGCGGAGTACACCTCCATTTGGCATGCGAGCGAAAAGTTACAGATTGTCGATCATCTGCGTGCGATGCTGTCCGAGGCTTTTCTAATCGCAGTTGAGACGGCTTCGTCCACTCTCCGTAATGCAAACGTCGCAGAGTATGCTTTCAAAGACTGGAGAAAATACACCCGTCGATATGCTGCCCATGGTCGCCCGTTAGGTGCTATGCTTGTGCAAGAAGGCTATATGCGCTTTGTGAAATCATGCGCAGCCTCTCTGATCGGGTTCCACCACCTGACCGATGAGCAACTCTTGGATGACTACATGACTGGCGTTGGTATTGCTAAGAGCTATGATGAGGCAGATATCTCTCTGGTTGAGCGCGTCACGGATATCATCAGTGAGGAAATTCACTTGCTAGAGGATGGCTCCGACTACCTGCAAGTCGGGTCTCCTTGGCAGCAGCACCTTGCCTTCTCTGTTAAGGGACATGCCCTGGTAGGCTTCCTTAACTGCGTGATTCTTGGCGAAGATGCGAACAACAACGAAATACTGCTATCCTGGCTCGAGGATACATTGCTTGACTCCCAGCAAATGTCAAACGTGGAACTATCTGTGACGGTTCTGAAGTGTACCGCCATTCTTGCAAGAATGTCTCCAAATGGTGCGTCTATTGGAAGACGCTGCCTTTTGAGATTTCTGGCCCAGGGAGATGTGACGGCTCGCTCCACCGTTGCCGTCGCTTCTCGGTGCCTCGCCCAGATCCTTACTATTCTTTCCGAGGATGCTGTGATTAGTACCCTTTATTCACTTGGTAATGCGATAAGCCCGAGCACGAACGTGGATCAAACTAGCCAAGACCAGCTCATTGGGGATCATACCGGGCCCGGGATGAACCTCGAGGCATACCCAAAAAATGCAAGCCAGACTTCGCTCTCGGCAACTGGCGAAGATGACACTATTACCTACAGGAATGTCATTCATGCCATCGTGACGGTTGCGACTAGTTGCAACGATGACAAAATCAGCGCATTGGCCCAGTCTATGCTTCTCCAAAAGATTGGCAAGCTCAATGTCGCAGTTGATGCCTTTATCATCCAGGAAACTGCCGTTATTGCTTTGAGCGGTGGGCAAGCCGAGTTCCAGCTTCTATTGAAGTTCTATGCACGTATCTACCTTGATGGCGTCAACAAAGGACTGAATGCCATCTCTGATGCTGTTCAATGCGCCATGGCTTACCTGTCGATTACTTTGGATCAAAAGTCACCGCTCCACAGGCTTTATTTGGTCCATTTGTTGGAAAGCATTATCAACAAGGGTGATGTGCCAGACCTTGAGTATGAGCGGCATAAGGAAATTATTTTTGCTGCGGATGATATTACCCCCCTCTTGAAACCGCTGGCTCTACTCGTGTCTTCCAATGGCAGTTCTACCAGGGCTTCCCGGTCAGCCTTTGAGTATGATGAAGCTATTCTAACTCTGTTCCGAGATGCTTGGTTCAATATCGCCATCCATGGAATATCCCTCAGCTCTAGTGTTGCCCAACGGCATCACAAGGAACTCCGTCTTCTCGCACATCATTCTCCCCCTTTGGTGGCTGAGAACCACATGGACTCTCTGGAGAGCGATGTGGAATTGAACACGGTTCTCAGACGCGGGATGGGACCGCAGCGAGCCACGGAACAGAAGAGAGCTTTGATTTCTGAACTCCCTGGCCGAGAATCTGATATCAAGAGACTGGACTATTCAAGAGCTGTGTTTCTCAACACTGTGGTCTTGGTCGAGAGCCTCCGCGCCTCCTCGGGGGACTCTACCAAGACGCTCAGTTATTTCCTTGACCCAGCCTTGGCCACTCCGGAGATGGTCATGTGCATGAATGCTGTTGCAGACAAAGCGGTTACTTGTTATCTGTCTCTTACACTTTCCGGGGAGCACGATGACTTTTCGACCCCTTACCTGTCTAAGCAGCTTGCCGGATTCCTGGTGGCTTGCTGTCATCGTATTGAAAGGGTTCAAAGTATTGCGATGCAGTGTGCCGACAGAATCATTCGTGAATGCCCTTCTGCCTTGTGCGAAAAGCATTCGCTCTTTGCTTTGCTTGAGATTCTGACCGTCATGTGGTTTTCCTGTCTTCAAGGAGAGCTCGATGAGTTTGAGTGGAAGCCGTCCTTGGTGTCTCCCATGGGCATTGTCAAGGTCGAATTGCCCGACAACTACGCGTTGAGAAGGGTGACTCTGAATCGGTTCCATGAACGAGCCAGGGCCTGGGTGACAACCGTACTGAATATTGCCCCATTAGATGTCAAAGGGTTACTTCAGACCTATCTTTCCGAATATGATGATGACGGTGGCTATGGGCACATTTCGATGGGACGTTCATTCGCTCTCGAAATGGGTTCCCTTATCCCACAAAGTGACCCACGGCTTGGGTCGATCGATGGCTACGGAGGCAGCGACTTCAATGTTGCATCTGATTTCATGGCACTATACACGACACGCCAGAAGTACCGACGTCCAGACATGCCTTCTCTCAGCGGCCTAGGAGGGGATGTTTATAGCGGCGATGTTGAACAGCCCCGCGTTAATAATTTGCCTGAGTCTGCCGATTCTTTGGAAGAGACCCTCTCTCGTCTCTATGGACGGAGCATTGCTGGCGAGGATATTCCCCTTGTGGAAGTTAGAGATGTCCTTCGGCAGGCCGCAGGACTTATTTGCAGCAGCAGCAAGCCACGACTCTCCGTTGTTCACTACTTGGTTGCTTTACCTTTCCAGATTTTCACCAAGGAGACAGTCAAGCTTGGTGTATCTCTCTGGCTTGGAGTCATTCACGAGAACCCAAGCACCGAGCCACGGATCCTGTGCGAGGTGATTGAGGCTTGGGAGAGAAGCATGAAGCGCCGTAAAGGATTGTTCGATCCTACCTTTGAATACCTTGACCCACTGCATACTAAGATTGAACTTTTGCCAACTGACAAGGATCTTATGCTTCGCATGCAGCAAAAAGCTCAAGACACTCTCTCGCCGCACCTGCGAGTTCTACATTTCTTCGAGAGCCATTTCAATGCCATCCGCCTAGGAAATCTGCAAGATCAACAGCTGTTTTGTCGCTTGATTGGTAGTACGGCTGTCGGACTTTCAAAGACCGAGGGCCATCCATTGGCAAGAGAAATTCATTTCCGCATTGTGCTCCTTGGTCTCAAGGTACTGAGGCATCTCAGCCCCCGAAACAGTGGCGCATCTTGGAAACTCAAGGATCAGATTCTGTCAGCTGCTTTGAGTTGGTTTAAGCACCCTCCAAGGTGGTCATTCGGAGGCAATCGGCTGCAGATTAAGGCAGAGGACAAAATTCTTAGCGAGGTGACCGCGGCTTTACGAGCCATAGCAGGTATCGCTGCCAATGCGCAAGGGTCATGCAAGTCTTTGCAGGCCAAGCAAGACCTGCTTCAAATCCTCGTAGAGAACGAACGATCCCGCCTTCGAGTTTGGCTCTTCCCCCTGGATCCGGAGCGAAAGCACCATATGCCTTCAATTGGTGGCAAGAATCCCGATGACGGCCCCGTATCTTTACTTCGGCTTGCCTGGGCGGAAAATGCAGGATTGGCTATTCAGATGGCTGCACGGTTCCCGTCACCCAAAATGCAGGCTGATGTTAGATCATTGATACTCAATTTCCCCGAGAACGTCATTGAGGAGCCAAGCGCTCTGGAGATTATGTTTGACAACTGTCTGCCCGCTGATGTCGGTGCCCAGTTGAAATACATGCTATACTGGGCTCCCGTTACTCCTACGGAGGCTATCACATACTTCATGCCCGCTTACGGCAACCATCCTTATATCTTGCAGTACGCTATGCGGGCGCTGGAGAGCTATTCGATGGATGTTCGGTTCTACTTTGTGCCACAACTCATCCAGGCCCTGCGCTTCGATGCTCTGGGTTATGTAGACCGCTATATCCTCGAAACAGCCAAGTTATCTCAGCTGTTTGCCCACCAAGTTATTTGGAATATGAAGGCCAACTCATTCAAGGACGAGGATTCTCAGATCGTAAGTATTGATATTGTCAAAGCTTGATCACCGTTAGCTAACATCCTCCGTTAACAGCCGGACCCTATCAAAGACACACTCGACCGTTTCCTGGACAAGTTGATCTCAAGCTTCTCAAACGAGGAGCGTGCGTTCTATGAGAGAGAATTTTCGTTCTTCAATGAAGTCACGGGCGTCTCCGGCAAACTTCGCCCCTATATCAAGAAGAGTAAGCCTGAGAAGAAGGAGAAGATTGAGGAAGAGTTGCGTAAGATCAAGGTGGAGGTTGGAGTGTACCTTCCCAGCAACCCCGACGGTGTAGTCGTTGGCATCGACCGCAAGTCTGGTAAGCCCTTGCAAAGTCACGCAAAGGCGCCTTATATGGCGACGTTCCGCATCCAGAAGACAAGACCACGATTGATTGAAAGGGCCGAAGCCAACGCTGGCGACCACCACCACCACCAACGCCAATTGACGAATCATTCCGAGCCTGAGCAGGAGACATATGAAGTGTGGCAGTCAGCTATCTTCAAGGTCGGTGACGACTGTCGCCAGGACATGCTTGCCCTTCAAATGATTGCGGCCTTCAGGAGTATCTTCACCAGTGTTGGTCTAGACGTTTGGGTCTACCCTTACCGGGTGACCTCGACAGCGCCTGGCTGTGGTGTGATTGATGTGCTTCCCAACTCCATTTCTCGTGACATGCTCGGCCGCGAGGCCGTCAACGGGCTATATGACTACTTCGTGTCGAAATACGGAGGCGAGGACTCTATCCGATTCCAAGAAGCGCGCACCAACTTCGTCAAGAGTATGGCCGCCTACTCAGTCATCTCTTACCTGCTACAATTCAAGGACCGACACAACGGAAACATCATGATTGATGACGCCGGCCATATCATCCACATTGACTTCGGATTCTGCTTCGATATTGCGCCTGGTGGAGTGCGATTCGAGCGCGCGCCGTTCAAGTTGACCTCGGAGATGGTTGCCGTCATGAGTGGAACCCATGACCCAGCCCATCACCAGGGCGGCAACTCGGGCATCAACCTGCCAGGCAGCTCCCACAACCCGACCAACACGCAGCCATACCGGTGGTTCGAATCGTTGGTAGTGAAGGCATTCCTTGCATCTCGCCCTTATAGCACGAAGCTGGCCCACATTGTCTCCCTCATGCTTGATAGTGGACTTCCGTGCTTCAAGCCCGAGACTCTGAAGAATTTCCGTGACCGGTTTGTGTTGGACAAGAGCGAGCGCGATGCAGCCGAGTACATGCGGGAACTTGTGCGCAAGTCGTACATGAGCGTGTCGACTAAGGGTTATGATCAGTTCCAACTGATGACCAATGGTATACCTTACTGAGATTAGGTTTTAATACACGGGCCATTTTCTTTTCTATAAATATATAATACATTTTTGATTTCATACTTTTCTACCATATTGGTATAGCCATAAGATAAAGCCCTAATGATCCTCTGTCCCTTTTTTTTCAACAGAAAAAGTGTGCTTGACGTCACGACTTCGTCGGTATCATGACATACTTGGCCGGGTCCCCCCCCGGGACAATACCCCTGACATACATATACAGATACTTTGCATGGAATATAAGTATAATATAACCGGGTTTTGATGAAATGGCATGATAAATCCGTTATAATTAGATACTCAGTATCAACAATGATCGCGAGATCTCATATATATCACACATACTTCAATTGACCTCAGGGTGGCGCATTCAATGAATGACGACCTACATCGTACTAGGTCCGAGAACCATTCCGGAAGTGGCAATATGACGATGCAAAGAAACTCGACTTAGGCCAGGCCTTTATAATGTGCAAGGCAGCCTTGGGCACAGCCCAATTTCCGGGCCTCCAACGCCAAACCAATCTTAACCAACTCAACCCTGGATTAACACATGAAACTACATATTCTACATATTGTATACACCTCCAATCTCCCATCTCCAGGATGAAAATCCCATTCCTCAGCAAGCTCCGCGGTGGAGGGACAGGGACCAAGTCCCCACCATTGACGGACTTGTCAGGGGAGTCAGCGATAGCGGATCGCGAGAAGAGAGGCAGCAACCTGGATGAGTCGCGTGTGCCATGGGTGACATGGAGGTCTGTGTTGCTAGGCGCGTTTGTTTCGATTGGTGGTGTCATTTTTGGATATGATACTGGCCAGATCTCGGGCTTTTTGGAGATGCGTAACTTCAAGCAGCGGTTTGCACAGCTGAAGCCTGATGGGACGTATAAGTTTAACAATGTCCGGTCTGGATTGATTGTTTCCATGGTGAGTGGATATCGTTGCATACCTTCGAAAAAGGAAAGTATGTGAATGTGGGAAACCTAACGCTTTCCAGCTCTCCATCGGTACATTGATAGGAGCTCTCATTGCCGGACCATTGACCGACCGCATTGGCCGAAAATGGTCCATCTTCTTCTGGTGCATTATCCTCCATGTCGGATTGGTCATTCAGATCTCCTCACCAGCAGGAAAATGGTACCAGTTCATGATGGGACGATTCGTAACTGGATTCGGCGTGGGAGCCTGCTCGCTGCTGGTGCCCATGTACCAGGGTGAGATTGCACCACGACACATCCGAGGAGCGATGGTGTGGTAAGTGAATAATCCAACACTCGACATTGCAATATACCTACCATAACCCTAACACAACCCCAGCTCCTACCAATTATTCGTAACACTAGGCATCTTCATTGCATACTGCATCAACTTCGGCACAGAGAGTATGGACAACACCGCATCATGGCGAATCCCACTCGGTATCACATTTCTGTGGGGTCTCGTCCTTGGAATCGGCATCCTCTTCTTCCCGGAGAGTCCTCGCTTCGACTACCGGAATGGCCGTGTGGACCGCGCCCAACGCACCATGTCGAAGCTGTACGGCATATCCGAGAACCACCGGGTGATCGTACATGAGATTGCTGAGATCCAGGAACAGCTGGATGCCGAGAAGGGGTCACGAGGCGGGATCCGCGGTTGGCTTGAGATGTTCCAGGCGCCGCGCATGGCGTACCGCATCGTACTTGGCGTTGTGCTTCAAGCTCTGCAGCAGCTTACCGGTGCCAACTACTTCTTCTACTACGTGAGTGGTTTTCAACAGTGTATTGCAATACACGTCGAGCCTGGCTAATATGATGTAGGGAACGGTGATCTTCAACGGGGCAGGGATCGACAACACATACGTGACGCAGATGATCCTGGGCGGAGTGAACTTCGGTACCACATTCGGCGGACTATACGTGATCGAGCACTTCGGAAGACGCAAGTCTCTGATCGCAGGTGGCATCTGGATGTTCATCTGCTTTATGGTATTTGCATCTGTGGGCCACTTCTCGCTTGACGTTCACACTCCGCGTAACACGCCCGAAGCAGGCAAAGCGATGGTTGTATTTGCGTGTCTGTTCATCACCGGGTTTGCCATGACGTGGGGCCCTATGGTATGGGCGATTGTGGCCGAGCTGTACCCATCGCGATACCGTGCGCGGGCTATGGCGATGGCGACGGCGTCGAACTGGCTGTGGAATTTCCTGATTGGATTCTTCACACCTTTCATCACTGGCGATATTGACTTTGCGTATGGGTATGTGTTTGCCGGGTGTCTGTTCTTCGCGGTGATCATTGTTTACTTCTTTGTTATAGAGGGCAAGGATAAGACGCTCGAGGAGATGGATATGATGTATGTTATGCGTGTGCCGCCGTGGAAGAGCAGCAAGTGGATACCACCAGAGCCCGAGAATCGGCTCACAACTGATCAGCTTATGGATCGGAAGGTTGCGAAGAAGTATACCAAGGAAGAGGAGGGTGCGGAGAGCAGGAAGCAGAGGGAGGGGGTGCCTGGACATTCACATGCTGAGACTGCGAATGATGCTGGGACTGGACCTTCGAATTTCTCTTGATGGTTGACTTTGGGGTGACACGAAGAGTTGAAGTAGCGAAGTGGTGAAGTGGTGGGCTGTATATGGACCGAAGGAGAAAGAAGGGGGGGGGGGGGGGGGGGGGGTTTGTATGATATCGGGGGTAATGAACATACTTTCAGTGTATAGACTGAAAAGAACAGAAGAGATATAGAGTACTTCAAAATGCAATTTATAGTCCAATAACCAGTGACCAGTGGGTGTCAATTTGGTAGTCATATAAGAATAAAATCATCCGCATCACCAGGATGGGATGGGTAAGGGAAAAAAGGGCTCAGAAACATATGAAAACGCCAATCCCAGGGCTGAAAAAAAGACACAAGTTCATGATCCTCCATGGATCATTTTGATACATATTCCACCTATTTGCAGAAAGGAGGAAAGAAATGGGAAGACACATCAAGAGGATGGAAACCCAGAATTGATACAAGTCTGTTGAGACTTTTTGGCATCGAATGCAGAAAAAAGTAAAAAGTAAAAAAAAAAAAAAAAAAAAAAAAGGAAAGAAGCCGGAGAGGCCCAGTAGCACCGATCAGGATATACTTGCCTTGAAAAGTGACGAGAAATAATCTCTAATCCATAAAGTCACCTCTCAAGATCTTCTCCTGGAAGAAATCCGGCTTATTCTGCTTAGGCTGACGGGGCATTTCCCGGCTAGGCTGCTCCATCGACGCGATGGAAGCAGCACGCTGGTGGTGACCGGTGGAACGCTGGGCTGGCTGCGGGGAGACGGGACTGCCGAGGGAAGGGGCACGCTCGGCACGAGAGCGGAGGGCCTCTGACCAGTTAAAGCCTTCGCCTAAGGGTCGGCGTGATGCGTTAGATCTCTCATCCTGAGGAGAGGTTGAAGTACTTGCGGAAGATCGGGTAGTAACGATGGCCGAGCCAGCCGGAGGGGAACGGCGCGGGCCTACGGCAGACGGAGGGGGGTAGTTTCTACCATTGCCTATGCTTCCTGCACGAGCATCACGCAGGGCCTGTGCACCAAAGGACATCCGTCTCCCGAACTGCGAGTTGGGCGAGGTTCCTGTTCCTTGCTCGTCCTCGAGAGCATCTTCGGCCGGGACGTTGGAGCCCATTGAGCTGGATAGGCTGCCTCGACGGAAGTTGCGGTTGCTACCGAAGGCGGATGCCTGGGTTGGGGAACCGGAGAGACCCAGTGTGGTGACTGACAGCCGACGCTGGTTGGACTGCTGGTTTGCAGCCTGGGTATTGGATGGGTTGCTCGGCTTGGAGAAGATGTCGGCGATGGAACCACGACGTCGACGGTTTTCCGCATGTGGGACCGAGATGGGGGAGGTGGGATCGTTAGACATTATCAGATGAAGGAGGGTCTGAACTGAGAGCAGAGAAATTCGGACGGACTAGCCGCCCTTCTCATAGAGTAGAAGATTGGAGAATAGAATAAGATCAATGTGATGAGAATGGTCTCAGCACTTGGAAGGGGGGGAGGGGTGGAATGATGGTGGGGGGGGGATCTTAATTTGAGGAAAGATTGAAAGATTGAAAGATTTCAGAGATGAAATGAAAGAAGGTTCTGGAGAATAAGTTAGAAGGTAGAAGTTGGAAGTTGGGAAGAAGAGAAGAAGAGAAAGGGGAAATACCAGAGGTTCACCGAAAAGCAGAAGAGAGCTAAGCATCCCATTATCTGGGGAAAGTGGCGCTAAGTGGAGAGCCCTGGAGTGATGATGTCGATGGGCTGACTCAGCAGTCCGTTTTGGGTTTATCCATGGATTATTGGTTTACGCACATACACGTACATATATGTAGTTATTATAATTGGTTTAATAGTCTAATCTAGCCTGGAACGACCATCTGAATATACACATATAAAGCTATATATATATATATATATATCACGACTTAATAGTACCTATTACCTATATAACACAGTAACAGTCAACCGGTTTACAGAAGGGGTATCGTGCAGAATATCAAACGATAATCGCTGCAGAAAAGAGGGGAAGCATGTTCGGTTAAAAAGTAAATAAAAATATACGTACATTGTGTGTATTGCTCGTTTCCCATAAAGTGTTATATATGCTGGATTTCTGATTTCTTCCTAAATGAATTTACTCTGTCGATGTCTGATTATATAGGCCAGAAAATAGGCTATTGATAACCACACAAAAGGCAGAGCAGATCATCCCAAAGGACATTGGAAAACCAAGAAATTCAAGGCAAATGAAATAACTGAATCAGCTTACGGCCGATCGTCGGCTCGATTTCGGTGCCGTCACGAGCGATTTTGATTTCCCGATTCGCATTCCAAGGGTTACGGAGGCCACGAGTGCGCTGAAAAGGTACTCGTTCCGTCGAAATCCATTGGATGCGGAACGGTTTACCAAAGGTTTGGCCCTCTTCCGGATCCTCGGGTTCAACGCTCTTCTCGCTGGCGTCGTCGTTCTCATCTTCCGACGACTCAACTTCCCAGAAGATAGTACCCCGCACTGAATCATCGATGATTCGGCCTTGCGGCGCTGTCGACGTCGCCACTGTCAGGGTCACGTCGAGCTCGTCGGGCCCGAGCGGGGGATCGGGCCGGGATGGCATCTCCAAGGCGAGCTCTTCGTCGTCGCTAATCGGCGACATCATACGCGCATATCCAAAATACTCACCAGATTTGTTGGCGGAGAAAATTAGATAGACGTAATCAGTGGTCTGGGCAAAGGTCAGTTTCGATCTATTGCTGTACTGTATATAGGTATATACTTACCTCGAAAGCTTGATTCATCGCCGCCTCGTTGTGCGATTGCGTAGCCCAGATGCCACTTTGCTTGCTCAGCTCGAGATCTTCCACTGTCAAGCTTTTAACAATAAAGTACCGATCTACCATCCGGGCTGGGGGCGGATAGTTCCCCGTAGCAGGCGCTGCTGAGCTGAGCTCCGGTGTGATTGAATGGTCCTCGCCTGGGTCTGTAGCAGTAACCGTAGCCATATCCTCCAATCGTGGTCGGGGAGCATGATTCACCACGGGAATTGCCACGCCTACAGATCCAGACCCCGGGGCAGTAAAACCCTTTCGCATTCGGCAGACAACACGCACGCCCTGGAACCGGCAGTCGTGAAATCTCGCCAACGCCGCGACACAGGCGGCAGCCGACTTGTAATTCACGAACGCACAATTACTTTTGGAGATCAGGAACACACTCTCAATGTCGTTTGTTGCATCTTGTGAAAAGTGATCCTTGAGATCTATGACATTGGCTCCTGGGGGGAGATTTCCAACCCAGAGCGCGTGGCCGGATTGCTTTGGCTTTCGGGGTGGTCCTCGTGGGGTACTCGGGACGGTCGGGGCTGGTTGCGAAGGGGAACTATTGTCTTTAGAAACGAATTGCAGGTTAGTAACGAGTCCAGAGCGAGAGGTCTGAAGAGAAGCTCACCGGAGAGGTGCGATTGGGGTTGGGGCTGCACTAATTTCATGGGATTCGATCCATCCACGATGGTTTTTGAAACGTCATATTCCAGATCCGCCATTCGTTTATCGGCTTCTTTGCGCACAGAGCCTAGTTTCGATGGCGAGCTCGTGTTGGTACGGACTGGAGAAGCAGCCTGAGACATTTGGCCGGGAGGCACTCCATGTCCATAAGGGACACCGTATGGCGAATGAGGGTAATAGCCCGATCCATATGGAGATACCTGCCCGGGACTGAGGTTTTGCATGTTTTGTATTTGGGGTCCATGGGGTTGGTAATGAGTTCCATGTTGAGGGCCTGGGGTTTGAGGGATCGCATACGGCGGATAAGCTTGGTAAGGCATGCCGTATGCCATTCCTCCGGAGTTGTGTCCATACGGAGCCATTGGCATGGGATACATCATGCCTTGCCCGTGGGCTGCTGGGTACTGATGCATTGGCTGGTGATTATAGCCTTGTGGATGATGGCCTGGAAGGGAGTATCCCATGCTCATATTTAAGGGAGAAGGGGCGGTTCCATATCGAGCTTCTGCGAAGCTGGAATGGTGTCTGACATTTGGAGGTGGCGCTGAAGTAGGAGATGCTGAGAAGAGATTTAGTCAATAGACAACACCATGGACAGATTCTGAAAGGAGGATTGGAAGGACTAACCCTGTTCTGATATCGGGGCTGTCCCGTCGGTTGTCTTGTCTGAAGGAACATTGCCCATGGGGGCCGTTGATGAAACTTCCAATTGCAACCTTTTGAAACAACATAGACTTCAGTGTCTGCAGAGAATATACACATACTCGAGACAATTCCTTACCTTTTAAGTCAAGTAGCCCGAGGCCACTGGTCTATGAGAAATCCCACAAATGCCAGTAAGACTTCCCTAAAAGTCCGATAGAGAAGAAAAGAATAGTAGAATAGAATAGAATGGCGTAGAAGAGGGGAAATGCAAAGATCAGATCTAGAAGGAGAAAGACCCAAGCTATTCAAGTTAGTCCTCACAAGAAAATACAAAAGGACCGAAGAGAGAGAGAGAGAGAGAGAGAGAGAGAGTGTGTGTGTGTGTGTGATGGTAGGAAATTGAAAAGGGAGAAAAAAGGCGAAAAACCACAAACACGCACTAGACCCCCCTCCTTCTAGGCCATAAGCCCAAGCTCACAAAACAAAGTAGGACAAGACATAAAGGGATTATAGAGAAACAAGTGGGTTAGGCACAAGAGATAAGGGGGAGCTCAAGGCTAATTGGAGCCAAGATATGTCAGAACAGGGGAAGAAGTGCTAGAAAGGCCAGAGGAATACCAAATCAGGTATAGTGAGAAGGATATGAAATACAAAAGCAAAAGGTGGACATATTGAAATATTGACATTTTGACATACCTAGTATTTTGTTTCAAGCGTTGTGTTACTTGGTTTAAACAGGACCAAGAAGGGCATGTGTTTTGGTAAATGGCATTGAGAGTAAAAGAGACGCTGGTAATAGAAACTGTAGAATAGAGAGCTTGGAAAACAAATATAAGAAAGAAAAGAGAGGCTGTCAGATATCGGGAAAAGAAAGGTGTCTAAAGCCAAGGAGGTAAATAGGGTATATATGGAATATATGGAAGTAAACTATGAAGAGTGGCGGGTCTGTTAAATGGGGGTCCTGGGGAATTGAAGCCAATCAACCCTCTTGGCAGGTGGCAGGTTGTGGCTGATTATGTCAATGGCTTCGAAGTACCTAGGTACGCTACATATTCCAGGGCTATATAAAGATATAGAGAAGAGAAAAAAGCGGGACGGGTCCGGGATTTTATACTGTATACCTACATCATTTATAGTCTCGAAAAATATAAAACCTGGATATAGATGGCTACATCCACAAATAAGAGACTCGGGATTTGTTGATGTGGCCTGAGTATCGTGTCATTCGTGCAGATTTGCATCACTGAGCTGCAGATGGCCGAGCCTTCTATTTTTTTCTCTCTCTTTTTTTTTTCTTCTGGCGTGTTCTGTGATGGGTATCTGGGCGGGGCCAGCAGAATTGTCGCAATTGGGGGCATAGTATTACCTAGCTAGGTATGTTGGGGGACTTAAAAAAAAAATGGAGTGACTTGCACATCCGAGGAGCCTCTTTGAGCCTGGACCAATGGTCGAGTCAGATGCATAACAGGTTTGCCACTGTCAGGGGTGGAAAAGAGTCAAAAAAAAAAAAAAAAAAAGCTAATGCGAGTGGTACGTACAATGTATGGAATAAGCTCCGTGCAACTTGTACAGCCGTACAAGAGCATGTAAAATATACAGGCATAAGGACAGAATAAGGCTTTAGGTCCGGCGTCATAACCGCAAGGGGAAGGCATAGACCGATGGGGGAGTTATTCTGGATACACTCCCACTAGGCTCGATCATGATCCCACCAATTATGGATGTTCCAATGAGTCTTTTCACTTCTTTCCAAGGTTAAGACGGGGGATATTTGGAGTACAATGTTGTATATTGTAGTATTCCGAGTCCAACCCCATTCCAGAGGCAGAAGGGACATTGTGTGCTACTGTATAGTGTGACAGAGCACAATTGTCTGATCCTGGCCCATGCCAGGCCCATGTCGGGACCTAGGAAAAGCCTCAACAATATATTGTGTACTTTGTACGAGGTAGTATTGACTCTGGAGTACGGAGTACCGTTTCAGAGTATATGCTGTGGACGAGTGGGGATCAAATGACGATGGAAAAAAAAAAGTAAGACATATTTTCTGCATATCAAAGAGTAGGGAAATTTCTTCCTTAATGAGCCAATTGAAAACGAAGGAGAAGAAACAGAAAAGGGACAAAAATGAAGTGAAGTTGGATCCACTCGGTTGATCCATCGGCATCTCAGGCCAGCCAACCAGAGACGGGCATTGGGGACTACATAGGTATATATCTTCTATTAAAAAAAAATAAAAAAAAGACGAAAGAGAATGATAGAATAATAGAATACATCTTTGATCTATCTCATTTTCCCGCAATAAAACATTGAATATCTTCCTATAGTACAATAAATATACAATACTGTAAAAGAAGGCATATCTCGAGGTCCACTGCAACAATGTGGCTTCCTATCAAACCAATCAGAGATATTAAAATCAGCCACAGTGACTCTGGAGGCATTTGGGTATTCAAGTTTGAATCTCAGAAAGGGATACTGTCTCCAGTGTAGTTAGAGTACAAGGTGCCTTGCATCCGACCGACCCAAGAATATCACATTTCTACTATGTATATCGATGTAGGGCTATTAGTACCAGAGCAATAAGAAACGATATGGGTTCATGTTCTGCTGTGTTTTCATTTCTTGGGTAGCACATATGTTGTATATTGTACATTGTATAGTTACCTTGTGTTCTAGTTAGTTAGCTAGTTAACTAGATAGTTAACTATGACTATATTGAAGTTAGTATGTTATACTTTCTTTCATTGGCTGTCAACTCTCGGACTATTTCTCCGAATCAGCTGACTACCTAGGTAATCCTCTATTATGTAGTTGAAGTTGGCAGTTGGCAGTTGACAGCATATTTCCTATATTCATACAAAACGTATATCGTACATTCTATATTGCATATCCAATTCCCAATGCACTCTCATCCACTATGTTGGAGTACTTTGTATACTCCAATTGGCCTATAGCCCGGAGACTTGCCGGGAACGATAGGAATAGGCATCCTATCTACGATCTACAATGTACAATATACAACATAGTACAATTCAATTTCGAATTGTGATATACATTGACGACAGTGGGTCATTGACGCACCTTTGATGTAAGTGCATTCGACTTCCAAAAGGTATTCCAGCGCAATTCCAGCGCCTTCTATGCAAAGTTTTGGGCAGCAAACAGCCAAGTCTGATTTGGGGAATTGGCGATCAGTCCAACGTGAGTTGCCTTCTCGAAGTGTCGGGCGTCTTCCTTGGAGACGCCACATTGTCTTTACTTGGAGACGCCACATTGACACCTTAGGCGTCATTCTGGATCCCTGACGTCATGGGTATTCCCCGTCTCCTCCACTCCTCTCCACTCCAGTCCCCGACTCCCCTGCTTCTTGTATCCTGATCTATGACTTGAGGGAATCATGAGCCCCTCTCCTATGGCGGATGTCATGCTGGGGCTTTCACCGCTGGAAAACCAATAATCGTACCTATGCCACCCCAGTCGGACTTGTCCGTCAAGGGTGTTAAAGATAGCAAGTTGATCCATTTTATAATATCCATAACGCGTTGGATCATCAGTGGTTTTGTGGATGTGGCCCCTACCACTATAATATACATGACTCCAATCACTGCAGTGATAAGCAGGGATCCGAGCAGGAGATCTCCATCCTCTCCATTCATGTTGTGATTGTGACTCGGAGCAAGTCTGAACTCCAATCATCTCCATTGTTGTGTTGCATATGGAGTCTTTACAACCGCCACGTCTCCATACCTCCATATCCATGTAAGTGCTTCCACTTTCATCTAGAACACTGCAGGTCTTTCCATCCTCGGCCACCGCTAGACGCCACAGCCCCACGGCTGTGCAGCTCTAGCTATGATCGTTGGGATTATCTGATTATCGTCAGCTGCTGGGGTCAGTGTGGAGGCGTGGCTGGGTTGGTGTTGCCACTGTTAGGCAGCTTCGTTTCTGTACAAGATACAGTATCCAGTATCTTGTAGAGTATCGGTGGTTTCTAGTTTGTAGATATTTTGATATGGGAAATGAATGACGAAGGCGAAGAAAAGAAAACAGGTATATGCCAACTAGCTCCATTCGATATATACCGGAGATAACTTATGTAGATAACTGTTGGAAAACTTCTTCCATGGCCACGATTGAGTATTGCGATAGTGGATTCTCCCGAGGTCCTAAAAGCTCGATAAAAAGTACAAGTCACCCAGAACGGAGATACACCACCAGAGCACAACTACATATGAGAAAACAGAATCATCAGAACGCAGGGCAAAGGCAACAGACCCGACCCATATTTGAATTTGTCCTAGAAGACAATAAACCATGAAAGTAGTGAGCAACCATCCAAAAGCAGGATCGATATGCTAGTATCAAGAATTGACACGAAGAAGTGAAAAAGAGAAAGAAATCACCGCCTGGCCCCTCATAGAAGTCAGAGCCAAAGAGCGAAAAGAAAGGTTCCGACCAGAAACAGAAAACAAAGAGCGAAGGGAAAATAAAAAAGTCATCAGAGCGGAATTTTCATACCGAATCTCATAAAACACTGATACAATTACGATTATGGGCGGCGCGGCTGATGTGCTAGACGGGGGATATAGACAAGATGAAGCGCGGGGGGAAGAAGCCCTTTTATCGATCAATTCCAAGTGAAGCCACTTTCCCCGCAAAGCGGGCGCCAGCGCTTCCTCTTTTGGAGAGCTTCTCTCTGTCTTTGTCTCTGCTTTCTGCGAGAGTTGGAGTGTTGGAGGAAGAGGAGGATTCCTTGCTGCGGATAGTTGGGAGAGAGCCCAGGGTATCGTTTGCGGAGGACTTTCCACCTAGCGGCGGAGGAGGCACGCTAAAGGCAGATGTGCGGGCGGTCCGTTGGCTGAGGTAGAGCTTGGCTGCGGGGGAGAGAGGGATGGAAGGGGGTTGTGGCGGGATCTCGGCGCCGTTTTGGACTAGCAGCTCGGCAATAGGGAACGGGATGGCTTTTGCACTAGACCTGGCGGCGAGAGTGGTCGGTGGGGCGCCCGGGGACGCAGGATCGGCTGCGGCGAGGGCTAGGAAGGTTGCGTGGGTGTTGCGGGAGCGATCGGTTATGTTTACGTTGCCACGCAGGGCGAGGCCGTAGAGGACGCCTTGGATGTCGTTCTGTTTGATTGACGCGAGGAGTGTTTCATCAGGCGTCGCGAAGCGAGAACGTGGTGAAGGCAGATTCTCAACGTAGGCTCGATCGACATATTTAGCGGTAATGAATTTCAACCGCTGCTCTCGTGTAGAACTTGCGCTCGGCTTGAGAGATTGATCCAGGATCGCCTCCCAAATCATGTTGCTGACGCGGTTGCCAATCTGCAGGAGAATCTCGACGATATCGTTCGAGAAGGAATGTACATCCAATGTGAGAGAGCGGATCTTGGATATATGCGTGCCCAAAGAGCGGTGGATTCCACTACATTCAATGCAGAGAATGATTCCGAGGTTGATGGACACCCATTCAACCTTGGACGATGATCCGCAATCAGCACACCAGTTGTTGCCTTGATCCGCATCCCGTACAACCTGCAGAAGTTTTGCGGGATTCTCTTCAAAGCTGTTGCTATCATGACGGACATAGCCCGGGCGCGCACCGACTGTTGTTCGGCGGATGACGCCAGCGTTGTTGCTTGAGCTAGAGGAGGAATAGGAGTGGTGGCCAGACACAGATGAGCTTTTCCCTGTTAGAACGGAACCAATATCCCGACTGGTTGGCGTATCATTCCTAGATGCGGAGGGAGGTGGAGTCTCTTGGCCTTCAACCGCACTCTGCAACGCGTTGTTGATAGACCTGATCCAATTGGACATGTCGTCCTCGGAAGTGGCTTGGTAAATACGTTTGAACTGGGGTGTGATCACTTCGAAACAGAACCGTCGTTCCGCGTTTCGAGCTTCACGGACGGACGCCATGCGTAGATCGATGGGCTCCATGTGTAGATCTAGCTTTTGTTTCCAGTTACTATACTCGGATAATTTTCCTTGATCCAGGACAATCCAAAATCTGACAAAATTAGAAGTTGCTCAACCATTTCATGCGCATGTACTTACTTGTGCCATGCCTGTTTGTTGATCCCCTTGGGGTCGATGTGAGATCCCGGACGGGACAGTGCCCACAAGAGGCCTTCTTTCCGCTGTTGGCCACTGGTTCGGTCAGATCCAAAACTGTTCTGTTCCTCAAGATCTCGGATACCCTTGAAGCGATTCTGGCTCGCATTACCAACCACCGTCGAGTTTGACGCAGGTGCACTGATCCCTGTGGCTGGTGCAACCGATCCTGCATTTGCTTGAGACGAAATCGATGAGGTGTTGCTAATGACTCCTCGAATCTGGGAGCCTGTGCTATCAGCCCTACCAAGCTCGACCTCGGCAGGAGGGCCGCCGTTGGCAGTTCCAGGAGGAATAGTAGGTACATTCGTCATACCGGCCACTACGTCGGGCTCAAGATATGGATTACTGCCATTTTCCAGAGCCCGGCGCTTCTCTTCGCGCTCTGTACGCTGGAATTGGAACTCCTTGTCGGCCTGGTCCACCTCGTGAATCAGGGCATCCAGTTGAGGGGTCATTCCTTCAACCTTTTTGGCGGCTGACAGGAAATTCTTGGCCTGGCAACTTGCATACTTGGTGAGATGTGAGAGAACCTCTTGCTCTTTGCGACCTCCGTGAAGATCTTGCATAAACGAGGAGTAATCAAATCGCCTCAGTTCGAAATTCCGCCGCTTGACTTGATACTTTGAATCGCTCTCGGCACGCTTCTTCTCTTTCAACGAATCCTGTCGCTGGCCCAAATACCGACTGACATATGCGTAATAGTCGCGGCTCTCTTCATCCCAGTCCTTCTTTTTGGCTTCTGCTTGTTTAATATCGTTATTATATAGCTTGACCAGGGGATCAATCACGAGTTTCTGAAGTTGCACCGTGTTGAGCTGCTCGTAGTTCAAAATTTGCCGAGCGATCTTCTCGAAGTAATGATCCAACGCGGGTTGGATAGCATTTGCATTGAACGTGGACGCATCATTCAATGAGGTTAAAAACGCCTCCATGGCCTCATTGCAATTGGCTTGCGCTAGCTGCGCGCTCTCGGCTTTCTTGAGCACCTTTTTTATTTTGCTTCGCATGTTGCTTGTCTTCGACTCTAGCGCTTTCATAGTCGCCCGGAACAACGGTCCATCCTCCACTCCGCTCATCTCATCGCCTGCCCGCGAGTGTGGGAGGTCCACCTTAGCTGGTGGTGGGGGAGGTGGCACGGACGGAGGAGGAGGAGGGGGAGGAGGGGGCGGGAGGGACTTCTCCGCTGGCTCAGGAGGAATAGACGAACTCGGGGTAGATTCGGCATCGCTATAGTGAGATAGGACAGATTGAGTTGATGAGATACGAGAGCGCGGGAAGACGGGTAGCTCCAGGTTTGGCGATGAGATCTGAGGACTCGGTAGGGGACGCATGGAGTTGTGCACCCAGAAGGAAAAATGGGCGAGGGTGTTGAGGCGGTTTGTTCTTTGGTCGTAATCTAAAAAGCTGCAGCTGTTGCGCCAGCCGCCGCCTTTGTCCTCTATTACCTTCGGAGGCTTCCATCTCCATGACCATTCGAACGACACGGACGGAGCACCCCCAGTGGAGTAATCTCCGATAAGCTGGACATTAGAGTTATTCTGAAGGTTAGGGTTTGCATGGAACTCTCTTGTGATCAGATTATCCAGTTCCTTCGAGTTGGATGCGTGAGCGAACGTGAGACCCGTGAGGCTGGTGTCTGCCACCTCGGGCATAGTTGTTGAGACACCATTGACGGAGTTTGGAGAATTGCCGGTCTGTGTCTGACGAATGATAAAGGTGAAGTTGAAGATCAGTTCCTCGTCGTTCGACAGGCGTAGCATGAACGTCGGGATCGGAGCGGCGGAGGGGGTGTCGGGGTCCTGTTGGGTTTTGAGGGGTCTTGTTAGCTAGACGGCCCGATGCATCCAGGCTGGGCACTGAGTACCTGAATATATTCGATCGGAGTATCGTCGCCGACATCGCGCTTGGCTGCGAACCTCGCCGCAGGGAACGCGTTGGGGGATAGAGTCAAAAGACGACGTCGTGAGTTGCTTATCGTGACCGATGCGATCGAGACTATTCAAAATTCATCAATATATTGATAAGAGCTTCAGATTCGATACTTTAACCTACAGCGATTCTGATCCTTGAAAAACAAGTTCCCCGCATCGTCAAGGCGGCTGGCAACATTCCCCATGATGGCAAAGGGATCACGGCGCGAGAAAGGGACCGAAGTAGGACCAATCGTTGGCCATCGAGGGTCTGCGAACCTGCAGTCGGATGGCCTTTGTATTGAAGCGTGCAAAGGAACCGAGTAATCCTTCAAGTGAAGGTTGTCTAAGGGATGAGAGAGAGAGAGCTCAAAGATCTGAAGGAGGGGGCGAAATCGGATAAATGCGCAGCCAACCACCCCCATATAGTGTGTCATTTAGTTTAAAGCTTCTTTTTGATTTTAATTCTTCTATATTTGTATCTTTATATATCTAGATGTATACATATAATTTAATTATCTTCTAGTTTGGAGTTGTTTCTAGGGGTAATATTTAAGGGACAACATCTAACATACTACTACAGTTAGTACATATGCACATCCATATATGATATATGATATAACCGTAGCCTCATTTCTGACTTAAAATGCTATAAATACATCGAATGTACTTTCTAAATGTCAAAATTTATATTAATAGGACTAACTATACAAAACAGCGAAACAGCCTGGTATCAAAAATTATTCGTGAACGTCATGAGACTCGGTTCCAAACCAAGTACAATGAAAAATGATACGTGGCCCCCGAGAGCGAGGAGAGAAGAGGAGAGAAGAGGAGAGAAGAGGAGAGAAGAGAAAAAGTCAGGGCGCGAGTTGACTCGTCCCATTCTTGGGGTCAGTGATCGCACCAGTCGACACGGGGCGCTCACGGGTAGAGAAGTACCGATGCTTGTGCTTGTGGCCATCGGGCTTTTCATCCGCTTCTACCCACCGCATTACCTGTCCCCGTAGATCGCGCATCTCGTGGACTCGTTGGGAAAGATCTCCTCGTTGCTTGGATTGGCCACTGCGCTGATTGAGCTCATCCTCTTCCGAGCTGGAGATTGACAGTGAAGATGCGCTGCTTTGCTGCAGGAACGTAATGACATTGCCTGCATTCTTCTTGAATTCGCGCTGCTCGTTCTTCAGATTTCCCATTCGTTCCGCATCCGCCTGGCAGTCCAGAGTGGTAACATGGAGACCGGGGAAGTTGGAGGACATAAATTCCTGTAGGAGTGGTAGCTTCTCCGCGTTGGGACGGTAGGTTCCACTGTCGTTATCAATAAAGAGTTCATAGTCCGCTGGATTGGTCGAGATAGGGATTCCTTCTTCGGTTTGGTCCAGATCCTTGCCCTCATTGGCTTCCTCATCTTCCTCCACGGGAAATTCGTCTGTAGGAACCGTGCTCGAGTTTGCATTCTCTGCATTTTCCGTATTTTCCGTATTTTCCGCATTTTCCGCATTTTCCGCATTCTCTGCGTTCTCTGCGCGCTCTGCGCGCCCCTCTGGGGAGTTACGGCGATGGCGATGCTTGCGCCGCCGAAGGAAGAATTCACCCGAGTACGCAATGTAGATAGACACATCACTGTGCATGGTGTGTTTGCTCAGCATATCGATGCCAAATTCTTTGCCAGTCTCGGTGAAACGGAGTTGTCCGTCCAAGGTGAGCACGTAGGTGAAGATCCGTCCATCCTGGCCATAGTGCGCAAACTCCAAAAACTTCTGGGCGAGTTCACGGCAAGGCGTTTGGAAGGACCCATGCAAGGTAGTGCGGTCGAAATTGTAGATGCGCTGGTGTTGGTGATGGAGCGCTTTATGCAGGATACGCCCTCGTAGACTCTGCGCCTGGAACATTCCCGCCACGAATGGCTTGAACTCTACATAGCGATGGTATAGCTCTGCAGGAATGGGGCCTGTGAGCTGCATCTGGATAGCTTGGAAACTATTTGGGGTCAGTATATAAATGGCCCAGGGATGGGAAGGAGGACACACTTGTAACGGCTAATCGACTTGCCACTGCCATCTTTGCTTTTAACCTGGTCTTTGATACCAGCCAGCCGTCCAATCAGAGGAGAAAAATGCTTAAACCAATGGTTGGGACCAATGGTGTAGACCTGACCCCCCTCTGTGCCTGGAGTTTTGCCGAGGCATTCGATACTGACCACCAACCAGGACTCCTTGCGGTGACCAGTCGCGAACGCCGAGACATTAGTAAAGACGTACACGCGCTTGCTCCCAAAGCGTTTTTTGACCTTGAAGGACTTCTCTTTGAAACCTACCCAGTCCTCCGAGAGTGTAGGAACGTCGATGAAAGCGATTCCCAGCTTATCATCATGATCCGCGGGGTCCTCGTCCATGAGATGACATTTCAACTGAAATCCCGAAGCGGGGACATTTGCGACAATCCATTCGCATTCCCACTTGGGGTTCATGTCCTTGCGTACGGTCGGGGTGCGGAAGCGCATGTCGGGGTCTTGTTTGTGGCGCGTCGGTAGGTCGATTACCATATGCGCGGAGACATACGGATCGGAGGAGAAACTGCCAAAGTCTGCGACGGGTAGGTCCTCTGCGCGATGGAAAGTAATCTTGAGGGTGTAGCCTGGTGGGGCATGGGGGATGGGAGTGGCATCGAAGCCTCCGGGAGGCTTTGACTCTTCATTCATAGTGACCCGGCGATGTATCTTGTCAGCCTTCTCGACGAATTTGGGGCCATATTTGTCGATAGGATGGACAGGTAATGACCGGGGCTGGGAGTCGTCCATCACGAATATAGGGAAGCAAGCAAATCCCCAAGATAAAGATAGAATTAAATAAGAATAGCCATGGAAGAGGGGGAAAAAAAAGAGAGAGTCCAAGCTTTCAGCCTTACAAATGAAGAACCCGTAAGCCCACCCGTGGACGGGAGTCCCTAGGCCCATATAAGGAAGGATGAGCGCAGGCAACAGAGATTATATCGCCAAGACTTGTCTAAAGAGGTACAATGACCTCATTTGACTCCATGGCCTGGTTCTCGTGCCTTTTTCAAGGGGGGGTCAGCCCTATATTTATTACGTCTTAACTACATGTCCAATGACATCTTTAATTTTCGTCTATCAAGTAACTTTTGAATGAATTAGGGACGAAAAAATGCCCAGAAGAAGCAAAACATAGTAAAAAAAAAGAAATACAAAACTAAAAAATTCTAATAGTACACATAGAGAAATAATGGTCGTGAGGTCGTGAGGATCATGGGAGTTAAAAAAAATCAAACACACAACTCCTTGCGTGAGGACTGACGAATGTGGCGTATGGAAGAACATTGGTTCTCTAGGTTCCTCGGAAGAGGAACTGCATGTCCTCGGGGGTCAGTTTTTCCAAGGCTGCCGCTTGATCTTTATTCAGGGTACCCCGGATGAGGTTGGCTTTCTTCTCTTGAAGTTGAATGATTCGTGACTCGACCGAGTCCTCGATACAGAGCCGAGTAACCACACAAGGCCGTTGCTGGCCGATTCGGTGACTGCGGTCGGCGCTTTGCCATTCCGCCGCGGGATTCCACCATGGGTCGATAATGAAAACTCGGGAGGCTTCCGTCAGGTTGAGTGCCACGCCACCGGCCTTGAGAGAGACTAAGAAGACTTCAACCTCGGGCTTAGTCATGAAATGTTCAATGGACTTTTGCCGCTGTGCTGGGGTCATCGATCCGTCCAGCATAACGGTGTTGAACCCGGCATGGCGTAGCCGCCACTCAACCAGTTGTAGCATGGATGTGAACTGGGAGAAGATGATGGATTTAGGGGTATGGCTTTTGCTTCGCTCCTTGAAGAGTTCGTAGAGGAGCATCTCGATTTTCGTGGACGAGGTCCAACTCTCCATCGAAATGCGGTTGATGATAGAATTCTTCTTGACAGACTCTTCATATTCTGCAAGGGTGGGTTGTTCCAAATCAATGGAAAGAGCGATATGGCACCGGGGGCAGTCAACATGCTTGCTATCGTCCTGGAAAGACTGAATATAGTCCTTGGCGCATTGACGACAGAATTCATGACGGCACTGAGACCGAATGGCATCTTCTGCAGGCTCGTCACAGACGCAGCACACAGCAATGTTGAACCCTGCTTGCGCTTTTTTCTTCAAAATGAGATCAGGATGGTTTGCAACTTGGCGCATCTGCATGATCAATCCGAAGATGTTAGCATAGTTGTTCAACATGACACCCTCGCTGACATAGGTATCGAATTTTCGTGTTGAGTTCGTCATGATGCTGCGTGAGAAATCTTGTTCGATCTCGCCGAAAAATTCATTGTGCAATGTGATACGTTTGGGTGGGAGCTCCATTGACGTTGTATGCTGTTGCTTCATCCGGCGGAGCATGATATGATCGGTGATAAGACGGAGCTTGTCGAGACCGTCTTTACGTTGTTGTTGAGTTTTCCCCTCGATGATTGGGTTGAGAATCTCCTTGTTGAAGATTGAGATATGCATAAACCCAGTGTGAGAGCACTCAGTACAACGTCCCTCTTTGGTCGAGGTCCACTGGAGTTGTTCGCAATCGCACTGCTTACAAAAGTAGCATGCGAATGGCTTGACTTGTAGAAAGCGTAGAAGGGAGAAGAATTCTCCAATCCGGTTCTGTACGGGTGTGCCCGATAAGCACCACTTGTAATTAGCCTCCAAGGCAAAACATGCCTTGGCAACACCCGTGGTACGCGATTTGATACTATGCGCCTCGTCAAGAATGAGGCGGTGATAGTGGACTGCGTGGATGACACTATCTGCTTTGACCATCGTTTCACCGCGAGAGAAGCCTTTCTCCTGCTTGCGGTAAATGGATTCGAGACTTGCATAGGAAATCATGATGACATCGTATTTGCGAATTTCAGTCTGTGTCAACTTTTTGACTTTCGCATCGGAATTGTGATAGACCAAGACTTTCAGTTTGCCATCCGTGTATTCCTTGATTTCGGATACCCACTGCATCAAAGCGACCGGTGGCACGAGGACGAGAGTCGGGTCAGGCCGGGGGAAATCGGACATGATGAGTGAAACTGCTTGAATGGTCTTTCCCATGCCCATCTCATCACCCAACAAACCACCCTTATATTGAGTCTTTTCCTGGGCTATCATCCAGTTCAAGCCCTCCAGTTGGAATGGCTTGAGTTTGCGAGTTATGGAGACAGGTTGCTTGGCTTCCTTTGGCTGGATAATCGGCTGTGCTTTGAGCGTATCCCACATGGTACCAATTGTGGGATGCTTGGTCACAAGATTCTTTCGGTCTCTTTCTACCTAGGTGATGGTCAGTCATATAAAGGCACGCGGGGAGAGAACCCGACTTACACGGCGAGCTTTCCGCTGCTCTTCCCAGGTTGGGGGCAGATCTGCTTCAGGGTCGTGAATTTCGTCATTGAGGCCTTCCCAAAGAGGACTGAGAGATCTGCCCTCTAGGGGATCCTCCGAGGTATCCGAATCAGCGACGCCGGAATGAAGCAACCCTGGTGGCTCAGGGCTCAATGGAGAGAAGAACACCGGTCTAGAATCGGGGTCCGAGTCGTATTCCGAGTGTTCATCAATGAATTTGTCTACGAGCAAACGTTGTTCTGTTGTCGGGCGTGGGTACTCGTATTCCTCCATTTGAAGGGTATGGGCCAGAGCGGTATCAGAAGCCTCAAGATCGGTTTGGACAGATAGAGCACCTGTAGGCCGTTTTACCGTCCTTTTTTTGAAGGCATGAGCTAGTGGAACATCAGAGGCATCATCATCCTCCGCCAGTGCCGCTGCGGATCGTTTTCTTCCTCTTTGGGAAGCTCCTAGGGATAATGCGCTCGACTGTAGTTTCTTTACGCGATCAGCGGCATTGATACGCGCCGAAGTCTTTATCGCAATCTTGGTGTCGGGTTCAGTAACCGCAGCACCAACGCTAGTAGCCGGGGTACTATAGCCCGTGGACAGATTCCCAAGCGAACTCCGAGAATTGGAGTCACTGGCGGATTCATTTTTCACAGGCACGACCACTGCAATGCTGCCCGAAGCAAAATTGTCTGGTGCCGCCGAGTCCGATAGACCGACATAGCCATCCTCATCTGCCTCGGAATCTGGGATGACGCGAGGGCGAGATCGAGAATGGGATGACCCACCAGCTCGCAGAGGTCCCGATCGACTTGATCGACGGAGGGGTGATGAATTCCTCAATGACGTTTCGCTGAATTGTGAATCGTCGTCTGAATCAGGGATTGTGGTTCTGGGTCTCAGATTGCGCCTCATATTGAAACCGGGCGGATGTAGAGAGGTGAGGTTTGAATTAGGGTGTTAATCTATAACGATGGATTTTATTAGCCGGGTTTGAAAGATATATAGGGAAGTTACATGGGGGGGGATGTACCTAGAAAAGCGCGACTTCACTTGTTTGTGTCATGAATATGTAGTTGCTAGAAGACAGGAGATAGGATGGAAAATGGGATAAGCCGAGAAAGTAGAGAGAAAAATAAATGAAGGAGGAAGGTATGAGAAATTAAAGTAAATGAAGGAGAGGAGACGAGATGAAAAAGGAGAGAAGAGAAGAGATGAGGATGAGGTCGGAGGCAGCAGGTGCCTGAACCAGAAATTTTCCTCGGAATCTCCCGATTTCCCTTCCCAGTTCCTTTTGTTTTTTCTTTCTTCTTGGTGGCAAATCATCATCTTCATCAACACGATCATCAAGCATTAAAGCTCTCTACATCTCTTTTCTTTCGTTCATTCCCCCCATATCCCCCGTGTCTTATCTCAGATAAGACCGCGTTAAGTGAAACGCGAAATTGCCACGGGTCCAGTGACTCGGGCCCAGACCGACTTTGAGCCTCATCTTTACACTCCAAATATGTGAGTTGCCCTATCCTATATGATATTGTATTCAAACTGAGAGGTTTAAAAGGACAGGAAGAAGACAGGCAAGGCAGCCAAGACAGTCAACTCAACCTCAGGGCATTCGGGGCCCGTATGTTTTGCTTCCCTTCACCTTATCCACACCCCAGAGACTAACTGCAACTCTAGACGCTCTGCCTTGACTGACTATCTTGCTGTATGTTCATCTTTCTTTACTTAATTTGGCCTGGCTGACTGGCTTTAGTCAAATAATATCTCAGCCCAACAAATTCGCGATGATTGGGACCGCCGGCAAGCCGAGGCACAGCGCCAGCCTGACCAAGCTGAACAAGAATCATCCAATGCTGCTGAAGAATCTAGGTCTCCATCGGTCTTGGAGTCACCAGAGGACCCAATCAAAAAGCGCAAGCGCCAGCAAGCCATTGCAAGGATCAAAAACAGTAAGGAGTTTGCTAAGCGCAAGGCTCGCTTTAGTGGCGATTACGACGATGAGGACGACGACGACTTCCTTGCGCTACAGATACACGAAGAAAAGAACCGACCGAAACCGGGTCAGCTTGCAAACTGCGAGATCTGCGACAAGCGTTTCACCGTGACTCCCTACAGCAAGGCCGGTCCGAACGGAGGCCTGCTTTGCGTTGATTGCTCTAAGAAACAAAAGGCTGATGAGAAGAAGCCCCCAGCCAAGAAGCGTGCCCCTGGGATTGGACGACGTCAGAATCAAGCTAATCTACTTGATGGGTTGACTCCTCATGGCACTCAGAGTCTGCTGGAAACCTGCATCAAGGTATGTCCATGACATTCAAACTCCAGGGTATTAACCAAGGAGTGCTAATAATCTTATAGAAAGTGGCAGACTATATCCATGATATTGAGGATTTCGGTGATTTGCCTCCATCATTGCTGTTACGTCTCGGTCAGATCTTGTCTAGAAGGCGGGCCGTGACCTCACGGACCTTGGATCTGTTCTTACGACCTCAATACACATCCATCGACCTGTTCGATTGTGCCAGTAAGTCAGAATTATTTCCTCTCTTTGAAAAAAAAAAAAAAAAAAAAAAGAAAGTCTAACCAGTGGCTAGAACTCGGCACGGATGACTACCACAAGATCCTGGCTTCCATGCCTAGTCTAACAAGGGTCAACCTTCGGTTTACCACTCCAATGAAGGACCCGATTTTCCACTATATGATGGAGCGTGATATGGAAATCAAAGATCTCCATCTGGATGGGCCAAACCTTGTGACCGATGCCTGTTGGCGCCAACTTTTCATGAAACTTGGCCATCGTTTCCTGAGCGTCAAACTGTGGAACCTCGATTCTGCCTTTGATAACGAAACCGCTCGAGTGATGTGTCTTCATTGCCCAAACCTTCAACGACTGAAACTGAAGTTCTTGCACAAAATCGACAATGAGATGCTTGAGGGAATTTCGACGCTCAAGTCCCTTCAGCATTTGTCGCTGCGTTTTCTGGACGAGACTGAGACTAAGACCGAGCCTCTCCTTAAAATCATGAGTAGCATTGGTCCTCAGCTAGAAACCCTATCTCTGGAGGAATTCAACCTTGCCGATGATCGACTCCTACAGCATATCCATCAGCATTCCCGTCATCTGACCAAGCTTCGTCTTACCCTCAACTCGACCTTCACCGATAAAGGTTTAACTGCATTTTTCACAGGCTGGTCTAATCCGGCCCTTACCTATGTAGACTTGAACTCCCTCCGGGACGTGGACATGACGAATCCCGCCGGTCCGGAGGAGCCTATTGGGCTTGCATCCGACGGCTTCGTTGCGCTTATGGAACATTCGGGCTCGAAGATCCAACACTTGAACATCGCGTCGTGCCGTCACATTTCATACAAAGCGTTCGAACAGGTTTTCGCAGAAGGCAAAATGTATCCCAACCTCAAATATCTTGATATTTCCTTTAGCACTGTCGTGGATGACTACCTCGCGCAGTGCATCTTCCGGTGCTGTCCGGCCCTTCAGAGACTGGTAGTCTTTGCTTGCTTCAAGATTCGCGACATCCACATCCCCAGGGGACTTGCTCTGATTGGTACCGTGGGAGCGACTATCAAAATCGACGGAATCACTCAGACCGAGACAATCTGAGTGGCGCTACGGTGGATCGACACAACAACTTTTCTTTCTTTCTTTTTTTCTTTCTTTCTTTCTCTCTCTCTCATATAGTTTAGCGATTTGCGATCTGAGCATATGTATCTATCTAAATCTTGAAAAAAAACCTTTTTTTTTCCCCCACGTAAACCTGGTTTTGTCTATAGCGGCCTGTCTTTGACGAGGAGAACTTCAATAATCTGATCAATTTGGCTCAGAATAATATTAGGGACGTTGTCTTTGAGGCAGAACTGCAATGGCTTTCTAAATGTCTCTTTTCCTTCTCGACGTTGTCGCAATAAGGAGAATACATGTGGTGAAAAGCGAAGTTTCTACAAAACGACTTTTCCATGGATACTATGTGATATGTGATATGTGATATGTGAGTTGCTAAGGAATTGTTTGAATCATTCATATAAAGGACTTCATTCGTTCAATATCATGTATATTTACGCCAGAAACCATAATGTATGTAACCATAACCAAAAACCTCAAGAAAATGCAAACCAATTAACAAAATTCATGATATTTATCCCATTCGCTTGCCAATCTCACTCTGCCAGTTTCGAGTCCTCTCAAATCCATTGGAGGCAGTCTGGTAGTCGAGCATCGCCTGGTAAACCTCCTCTTGGGTGTTCAGCACAAAAGGTCCATACTGAACAACCTTCTGGTCCAACGGCTGGCCAGCCGCAAGGAAGATGCGGGAATCCTTGTCGGCGTTATCCGGGACGGAGAGTTCAACAAAGTCACCCGTCTGCTCGAATTCGACGTTTGTGAATTCCTTTACGATGCGAGTGGAATCATTCGAGCCAAAGACAGTCTCACCAGCCAAAGTGTAAGCAAATGAGTTCCATCCCTGCGGCAGCGGCTGCGAGATACGACCGCCAGGCTTGATCGTGATATCCAAGATCCAGACAGGGGTGTAGGCCAAGTCGCGCACGGAGTCAACACCGTGTGACTGGCCCGAGATGACCTTAATCTTGACGCGACCCTCATCGACGGTGGCGAGGGGAATCTCTGAAGCACGCAGATCACGGTAGCGAGGCTCACAGAACTTCAGCTTCTGGGGCAGATCAACCCACAACTGCATACCGACGTTGGGGCTACCGTCCTCGTTTTCGTGGGGCATCTCAGCATGCATGATGCCGCGGCCTGCAGTCATGAACTGCAGATCGCCGGGTCCGATGGTGCCCTTGTTACCGGCGAAATCTTCGTGGTCAACGCCGCCGGACAACAAATAGGTGATAGTCTCCTGACCGCGGTGGGGGTGGTCCGGGAAACCGGCGCCCTTGCCGATGGTGAAGTGGTCGAGCATGAGGAAGGGACTGAAGTTGCGGAGCTTGGCAGTTCCAATGGAGCGGCGCACACGGGCACCTGCGCCTTCTGCTTGCTCAATGGCAAGGAATGCCTGTCGGATTGCGCGAGGAACGGACATGTCTGTGATGGGGAAGACTATGGGAGTCGGGGTTTCCAGATTGAGGTGGTGGTTTGTCTGATTGACAATATTTTTTGTCTGAAGGTACTGTGACAGGCTAGGAGCTTGTTGCTGGATGAATGTGAGAAAAGAGTCTTTGATAGAGGGGTTATAGGCAAGGAAGATTGCTGTGATGCAAATTAAAAGTGGCAGAAGTAGTTTCATGGATGAGATGATGGTATTTATATGCGAAGGAAGCGATTGAAAAGAGTAGAATGTTCTGCTTGGAAAGGAAATGCTGTCAGCTTTAGTCAATCTCTCATAAATACTCTTTGTAGTATTCTGGGCATCTGCAATGGATGCTTTGCAAGACATCAGTCAGCCCGGTCCGGCCAATTAAATGGCTTGGCTTTATTACCAAGATCCCCGTCAGCAGCCGCTAATCAAATAGCTAACCATATATGGTTAGTGTGGGCACATGATAACTGAGGTAATGCTGAGTTCAGCATTTCAAATCAGGTGACCTGGAAATTGGCCCGGGGCGATCTATAAGCTAGAAGTAATCCAGTGGATATAACCTTGTGTAGATATATGCGTGTTATAGATTTAGATTTAAATACAGTATGACTCTAGATGTTGCCCCATATTCATATCAAAAAGGGCCATTTCCATGTATTCTACAATATGCATCTGCTTCCAAGTGTTCCGTTGGGAGTAGTCAAGTCAGCCCGTGCACAGTAGATTAGTCGTTATCAGATAAGGCCACGGAGCAGCTGCCGCTCTCCACTGCCAAACTTGACATGCGAGGACCGCCTTCTGTGTAGGCACTTGATTTATTCCAGCCTTGGAAAACTGTTTGATTCTATCATTATATAACTACACTGATACCCATATGCGATTGATTTACATGACAAACCCTTACCATTGCCGAATTGAAGCCTCTTGCGACAAGCGCCTTTCGCGGGGAAGCTTCAGGATACCTGACTTCCACAACACCTAGACTCCACTGTCATCCTTGGTTCACTGTGTTCTAATCTGATCTGTCAAAGATATGGGTCACTCAGCAAGCCTGTCGCCGTGGCTGGTGTTTGCCTGTGCTGTGTCTAGCGTGTGGGCAAATAAAAAGCCGTTCAACATTAATGACGATATTCTGGCTTATCCCCAGGTAGGTTGGATCTGCCTTGCACCGATTTGAAGCAAACTAACGTTGGATATTGCTCGAAGTACCAAGTGGCATTCCCCGAGGAGTATGTGCTTGAATCCCACGCCGAAGCATTGCTCCAGTCCCAGGCCAGCCCCGGTGCCAATGACCAGAACAATCCCCAAGTCTACATGGGCAAGGGTACAACGGACTCCACCGATCGGCCCGAGGATGTGAATGGATCTTCATTCACCTACGAAGAAATGATACTCGAGGACCGGCGACTCCTCTGCCAGATCCCACGTGTCACGAACGACGAACATAATACAACGAGAGACAAGGAGAATAGCAAGGCCGAGGAGCAGAAGGAACTAGCTCGGGCAACAGATCGTGGCCTGGAACTCCTGCGTGAAATGGAAGGGAAATGCATGTACTATTTCTCTGGCTGGTGGTCCTACTCCTTCTGTTATCAGAAGCAGATCAAGCAGTTCCATGCGCTCCCCGCTGGCCGTGGTATCCCCAACTACCCACCAATCGAAGACACCCAGACGCATTCCTTCGTCTTGGGAAGATTTATCGGTGACAAGGGCGAGGAAGAGAAACAATCTGCCAAAACAGATGTGGCAGAGCTTCACACAAAAGGTGGCTCACGGTACTTGGTCCAGCACCTGCGTGGCGGGACCAAGTGTGATCTGACAGGACGCGAGCGCAAGGTTGAAGTGCAGTTCCATTGTCACCCACAATCGACAGATCACATCGGCTGGATCAAGGAGCTCACCACGTGCTCTTACCTAATGGTAATCTATACCCCTCGTCTATGTGACGACGTTGCTTTCCTGCCACCACGACAGGATGAGATACACACTATCGAATGCCGTGAAATCCTGATTCCCGACGAAGTCACCGAATGGGAAGCTATCAAAGAGTGGTACACGACCAACCAACTGGCCGATGCTGCTACAGATGCGGATGCTGATGTCGCCCAATCCGAGCTCCCAATTATCGGAGGAATCGAAGTCGGCGGCCGTAAACTTGTTGGCATGGAGGGCAAAGTAATTGAAAAGGGACGTGTGGCATCCGCAGGCGAGGAGCGAGTGGAGGTAGTTGCGAAACGCGAGAATGGCGAGGTCCGGAAAACGTCCAAACAGGTTCTAAAAAAGTACGATATTGACCCGGAGAAACTGGAAGAGATGAAGAATCTACTGGAAGAACAAGCAGATGGCAAAGACTGGACGCTGGAAGTTGTGGAAAGCAACGGCATGATCAAGTTTCAAGGCATCTTTGATGAAGATGAGGAAGACACTTGGAACGACAAGCCATCTTCAGAGAAACCACACGAAAACAAGGTGTCTGAAAAATCCACTGGCCAAAAGCCAAAGAAGCAGGAAACAGAGTCGGTCGAAAAGAAAAAGCAATCCTCAAACAAGCCCGAGAACAGCGAGGGCAGCGAGGAGACCTTTAAGGATGAACTATGACATTGTATAGTAGATCTTGTACATTTTGATAAATATTTTTTTTCCAGCCTCATGGATGCTATCGTGTTTTTCCCGCAATTGGCTGAGTTGGGAACCAATTACTAGCCTACATACTTGTACGTTGGTTTTACTATGAGGGCGACTCATTCTAAACTAGGTGTAGAGGTGCAAATTCAAAATTTGCCCAAGAGCTACTTAATATCTTGTCTTATATCCATTACGGAGTACATTCAATTTGTTTACCTTATAATATGTGCGATGTATATGGAATTCAAGTGTGCTTCGTGTATAGGTACACTTAGTAGACATATTTAGTATAAGAATATTTCTAAGGTTAGATACAGTCAATCTAACTGCAGTCCCACACAACTGCAGGGCTAGTATACTAAGAGCCATGCCCCTGGAGACGTACGTCAGTTGCCCCAGTTGCGGAGCCGAGGGGCGCTTTGGGTAGAAAAGTAGTTTGAGAATTAAGAGAATTCAAATACGAATAATAACAAGAAAAGAAAGAAGAAGAAAAGAAGACTAAAACAATTCAATTGAATAGAATGTCAAAAACCACACGAGCATTAAGGCAACGTGACTGTAAACTCCCTATCGCCTGGCCCACTTTCCCGCCCTCTCCCTCTCCCCAATCCAACCTCAGATTTCCCTTCTCCTTTCCCTCTCTCAATCCCTTTGTGCCTAGACCTTTTTATCTACCTCCGCGCGCTTCGACATCTCATCTCCCGAGTCGACCCCCCTGCTCCGCGCACTAAGGAGCGCCAAGGCTGACCGAGCAACGGCCAGCGTTACCAATAACACCCGTTCTTCCCCCAACTACATCACTGCGAAATCTAGAGCTGGCACGTTGACACGCTGCCATTTGCAGCGGACTGTCGTCATAATTGATCGGTGCCGTGGGATCACGAGTTGTTTCTAATATGGGTTTCATCGGTGTCTACTCGGCTGTGTACGACTACCAGCCACAGGGAGCGGGCGAACTCGAGATTCGCGAGGGCGACCTCCTCTACATCTTGGAAAAGAATGCGGACGATGACTGGTGGAAGGCTAAAAAGAAGGCTGGGCGGGAGGACGAGGACGAACCTGAAGGCCTAGTCCCCAACAACTATGTCGAAGAGGTGAGTCTCCGATGGAATGCACCCGCGCAGGCCTCGCTACATGAACAATTGCTGATATTAGATGAAATAGGCGCAACCAGCACACAGAGCTACAGCCCTCTTCGACTACACGCGACAGACTGATGAGGAGGTTTCCTTCTCAGAAGATGCTGAGCTGATGGTGTACGACACCTCGGATCCGGATTGGACATTGGTTGGAACCAACTCGGAGTATGGATTTGCGCCGTCGAATTACATCGAAATCATCGAGGATGCCTCCACTGCAACGACTGTCCCTCCTCCGCCTTCTGTTCGAACCGAGCCTGCCGCGCCGACGCTTCCGCAGCGGCCGACGCTGACTGCCCCGGAAGAAACCGAGGCATCGCCCGCCGGCTCTCCGGTTGATATGTCTCACAATCCCGCTGCTGCTGCGATAGCCAGTATCATCCACAAGCAGCATGCCCCTGCGGGAGCACCGGCCGAGACAACTAGAGATGAATCCCCACCACCCAGTCTTCCCGTCCGGCCATCGTACGATCAAGCAGAAGACCGCGAGGAGCCTCCGCTGCCTAGTCTGCCGCGTCGACCACCTTCGGAACATGTGTCCCCGCCTATGAACCGTTATTCGCCTGAGCCAACTCCGCCACCCCGTCCTCAACAGGCGGCGCCTGCTATGGGTCGTGATGGGACACATGTCAAAGCATCTCCCCCTTACAACCGGGCAGGTGAGATGACGCCTCGGTCACCTTCCGGCTATCATATCTACAACATCAATGAGATGGTTGAAGTTATGGGCAAGAGAAAGAAGATGCCGACTACATTGGGAATCAACATGGCTACTGGAATCATCTTCATTTCTCCTGAAGGAGATGATCGGCAGAAAGAATGGAGTGCGGAGAAGCTCACTCATTACTCGATCGAAGGAAAACATGTCTTTGTTGATCTTGTCAGGCCTAGCAAGAGCATCGATTTCCATGCAGGTGCCAAAGACACTGCCCACGAGATTGCAGCGGCACTCGGCGAGATCGCTGGTGCCTACCGGGCAGAAGGATTGCGTGAGGTGATCGAGGCAGGAGAAGGCAGTGGTCCAAAGAAGGGCCAGATCCTCTATGACTTCGTGGCGCAAGGCGATGATGAAGTTACAGTATCTGTGGGGGACGAGGTCGTCGTCCTTGATGATACCAAGTCCGAAGAGTGGTGGATGGTACGGCGATTGAAGAACAACAAGGAGGGTGTTGTCCCCAGCAGCTATGTTGAAGTCACAGGATTGATACCGAAGGCGCCGCCAATGCCGAACGAACCAGGCCTATCGAGTGTCGAAAAGAACCGGATGGAGGAGATGCGGCTGTCGAAACTTGCGATGGGCAAGTCAAGGACGGACTCGATGGATTCATCGGACCGTCACAGCAAGCGCGATAGCAAAATCAAGTCGAAGCCCGATCCGACTAAAGTGCGAAAGTGGACGGATCGGACCAAAGACTTCACAGTGGAAGCCCAGTTCATAGGTCTCCAGGATGGTAAAATCCAGCTTCACAAGGTGAACGGTATTAAGATTGCCGTCCCTGTCTCGAAGATGTCTGTTGAAGATCTCGAGCACGTGGAGAAGGTCGCCGGCGTCTCTCTGGATGAGGACAAACCTCTTTCAAGCATCCGACCTCGAGTTGCCATTAACAAGGATTCCAAATCCGGGGCTTCCAAGTCTGGGGCTTCTGTACAACGTTCCGACTACGATTGGTTCGACTTCTTCCTCAAGGCTGGCGTTGGGCCACATCGCTGTGAGCGATATGCACAGTCATTTAACAAGGATGCGATGGACGAATCTGTGCTACCTGACATTACATCTGAGATCCTTCAGACTTTGGGTCTAAACCAGGGTGATACCTTGCGAGTGATGAAGGTGTTGGATGCCAAATATGGCCGTACCCCGGACAAGTCCAAGCCCCGAAACGTCAGTTTCGGCGGCGAGGAAGTCATTGGCAATGGCGAGGACGGAGGGCAAGGTGGTCTGTTTTCCGGGCCGGGTGGTGTGCTGCGCAACAACACTCGCAGGGGCAGACCAACACCAAACGTCCAAGCCGGAGAGGTTGATCCTAAAGTGTTCGGACAGGGAGACGAACCTAAATCACCAGAGAGCTCGGCGAGCCCACCGCCCCCTGTGGCAGCTGAAAAGCCTGCTGCAGCCGGCTTTGAAGATGATGCTTGGGAGGTGAAGCAGCCGAAGCAGCCTGTCAGGCCATCTGCAGCCACCGCGACCCCACCACCTACGGCAGCTCAGGCTCCTCAGCCAACAGGGGCAATGGCGGATCTGACTTTGCTCCAAACTCCCTTGCAGCCGACACCGGCTCAGCCTACTGCACAGCCTGCCCCGCCCATGCCTACCCTACAGCCGCAGACCACTGCCGTGCAATCACCAACTGTTCAACAGGCTCAGCAAACAGGTGCCACTCCCAGCTTGTTTGCGCAAGTGGCACAGATAGGACAGCATCAACAAGGTTTCAGCCCTCAGCAGACTGGGTTCCAAGCACAGGCCAGGCAACGCCCTCAGGCCCCTCAGACAGTTGGACAAAATTCACTTCTGCCTCCGCCTCCGCCTCCGCAGCGCCCACTGTCCGCGCCTCAGAACTTCTCGCAGCAGCAAAACTCCTTTGGTCCTCCTCCATTGCAAGCTCAACTAACGGGCCTTCCCCAGGCGGGTCCTCCTGTTGCTCCTCCTGGCCAGAGTCTGAGCGAAATGAACCAGCTGCGTTACCAAGCTGTAATGCAGCCGCAAGCGACAGGATTTATGGGTCAAAACCAATTCCAGAATGGTTTGATGCCGCAGCCCACAGCGTTTACTCCCCAGTCACAATTCGGTATCCAGCAGCAGCAGCAGCAACAGCCGTTTGGTAACCAGATGGCCCCTCAACAAACTGGGTTCCAGGGACTTGGGCCGCAGCCCACAGGCTTTGGTGGATACGGGCAATTCCAACAACCAATGCAGACTGGCGTCAACTCCGTCCTTCCTCCTGCACTGCAACCGCAACCCACTGGTGCCAATGGCTATGGCAACCAGTCCTACACATCTCCACCCCCTGTGCCGCCAATTCCCCAGCAACCAACAGCCACTCCTCTATCACCACAGAAGACCGGGCCACCTCCCTCCATCAGATTTGGTGTCAAGCCAGATGGCCCCAAGAAGCTTGAGCCACAACCGACTGGACTCAGAGCCAACCTTTCGCAAGCTAGTAAGTGTTATCTTGCCATCACAGGAGATAGAAGTAACAGAAACTAACTCGATCAACAGCCCCCAATAATCCATTCGGCTTCTAATCTGCTTCTGTGTTCGCCCATACTGGACTGGCGTATATAATCCTGGTTTCCTGGCAATTCCCCCCTATGTTGCCCCGAAGTTTTTGCTCATTCTGAGGCTGGGATGTTCTTTTCACATATCGCAGCTTGTCCTTTCGAACCAGTGCCCTTGGAATCGACACGTGTACATATCATGACCCTGGTCCTCGTTTTGACGCAGCGCGTATTGAAGCTCATGCCACGAATCCTCTTCCTCTTTTCCCCTTGCAAAACTCCGCACTTAGCGAGCTATCCATATTCCTTTCCTTTCCTGTGCTCTGTGACAGATCTGATTATGCCTCTCATATCCTGCATCTTCCATTGTCTCTAACCTATTGTCATGTAAATCTGTCTATGGTGATGCTTGTTGTGTGGATGCCCTCTCTTTCTCCCTTTTCTTTTGTGTCGTTTGGATGGTTACTTTTTTTGCTCCTGTTCTCTCCCTTGTTACCAGCTCATACATAATCCATGGAGTTGTCGGCATTAGCCTGGTCTACTTCCATGAATTAAATATTTCTAGGCACCACTACCCAGATCGAACAATCCCAGTAATGTGAACATAAATGGGGTATATCATGACTCAAAAAAAGGCCATTTCCTTTCTCTCTTGCCTCTCAGTCTCAGATAACGTATGCGTGGTATAGGCATCAAATGCAATATTTATGAAGCATCAGTGATCCCACTCAGACGGATTTGGTTTAATTACAATCCGATTATAAACACAGTCCGAATATAGCCTGAAGCTGGGTCATACAATCTCCCGGAACCCATAAAGCTAGAATATCTACATTGCTGGATATTAGGGTTTCCAGTACGCGGTGGGCTGTGAAATACAGCCCTGAGCCACGTAGCAAGTTCCCTCCATTCAAAGCTCCCAAAGTCAGTCTGGTAATCCGTCAATGTGGCCTCGATACGGGCCAGCTGCTGTGGAGCTTCTGCAGTGCCCAGGGCAACGACCAATCACGGCACAACATAAGCAGCACCAATCGGGCGATAGCAGGAAGCCAACTCAGCCTCGTTGATAATTCGCTCGCAAAAGAAGGTCGACTCCTCGGTGAGAATGGCATTTTCTGAATCCAATGCACGGAGAATAGTGTTTAGAAGAAGTGCTAAAGCAATGACCACGGTGTATGCTGCTTGATGGCGCGACCGTCGACCGGGCCGGGGATGATAGGCCTGTTAGTTCAGTGGGCTGGTCTAGATACGGGTAGATGCTCTGTGCGTCTTCTCGGAGCTTTATATATGCTGCGGTGATGTCGGCGAGATGGGAGTGTGGGTGGTGGAGGTATTCTGGGAAACTTGAAACCGATAATAGAGTCGTGGGTGATCGTGGTATACTATCCGGGGCTGGAGAGGAGCCATGCTGGAGGAGGGACATCACGTCATTCCAGAAGCTTGGAGCCATTTGAACTCGAGGATTGCATATTCTGTCCAGGATCTGGTAGGATTAGTGAAGTAAGGAGGTTCATGTTTGGAAAGTGTCACATATCACAGGCACACTCAAGGTGACGATCAAGTCTCTCTCGAATCCACTTTTGTATCAGCGTACCAATTTCCCTATTTAGTCAATGATAGACAACTACCAAGACCTCGGAATCGCCTGTTTCAAAAGGATGTGTTTTCTCGAAATCAACTATGAGTTGTTCATGCTTCTGACTTCGTGGAGTTATAGCCGCAATAAAGGGAACAAGACGGCTTAGAAGGCCTGGTGTGGAATAGACAGTGGGCTCGATTTCCTTGCCATTTTTTGGGGGCCTTATGATGTCAAAGACGGCCAGGGTGTGTGCAATGGTGAGGAAGATTGAGGTTTCAGCAATCAAACGCCTAGGGCATATTCTGCGACCGAAGCCGAAGCTCACATCTCCCGGCTCAAGAGCACATGGCTCGGAAAGGAACCGTTCGGGTTGGAAATCCCGGGGGCTGCGATATATCGTCGGGTCATTGTTGAATGACCTAGATATACGTTAGCATAGCAAAGGTGGTACATAGATATGGATAAGAATACCATTTATTTGGTACAATGATTGCATTTTTGGGAATCAAATAGCCATTGATGATATCGTCTTCGTCCATTCGGTGAGGAATTCCCATAGGAGCGATAGTATGCCATCTGATAGCTTCCTTGACCATGTCACTCACATAGGGCAGCTTTTCCCGATCGGTCGCCGATGGCAAAGCAGGTTTGCCGAACAGCTCATCTATCTCGGCTTAAGCTTTGCGTTGAACATTCGGGAACAGCATCATTGCCAGAAAAAAGTCCTCTAGAACTGCAGTAGTCTGTTTTGTATAGTTGGGTGGAAGTAAGCATATGAGAGTCGTTAGACCATACCGTATCGCCTGCACCGCCATACATTGCCGCTGCTGACCATTTGACGATTTCTTCATCTTCGCCTTGTCTGAGAAGCGTCGAAACAAAGCACTGTCTATCCTTTCTCCGGTCCATTTGAGACTTGGTGAATGCAAGGGGGCTCTCCACGAATCTCGGGAGGGTTTGGACGTGCTCTTTGGCAACTCGTTGGAAATTTGCTCCGGGCATCTATTCTGGGACATATCTCACTGTATAAAGAGGGGATCAGTAATACACAGCTCAACCAAAGAGACATAAGGGAAGAAACCTACACGCCGGAATGAAATCAGCCAGCCACGCCCAGGCACGGCGGCTTCGGAGAACTGCTTTACCGCAAGATTGGCTAGGCGTACCAAGGGGTCTTCACCACGAGGCTCAATGTGATAGCCGTATGTAACGGTCAGAATAAAAGCACCAGAAGCGCTATATCCGAGTAAGTAATGATCTCCAAAAGATAGGACCAAAAACTCACGTCCTGTTATGATCGAGGAACTCCTCCGGCATGTGTAGAACACGGCATGCAAACCGTCTCGCCTCCAATTCGAGGAGACCATTAAATTTGGCCGCAGATTCTCGCGTTCCGATGACTCTGGTGATTGCGCGACGATAGGCTCGAAGAAGCGGCGTGTTGTCTTGACTTGGTGGTAACTTGTTTCATCCAGCTCTTTGGATGCCGTTTCAGTCAGAATATACCGAGAAAGAGGTATGCTTGAAGCTCAAACGTACAGTTTCATCGGCAAAGACGAGGTGCAGTCACGAGTAATGCTTTACGGAATTCTTTTCTAAGATTTGAAAAGCCAGGTCTCGATCATTGATGATAACGAGGGTCTTGCCAAGGACGGTGACGGAGCTGATGGGACCTGTGAGGCTTAGCTTTTGTTAAACGGACCAGAACTAGACAAAATAGCACCGTAGAGATTTTTTGTGCTTCAGCCAATGCAGCCATTCCTGTGTTCCTGACGAGGGAAGGTCGAACAAATTGCCAATCAAGAATTTGCCTCTCGGTCCTGGAGGTAGATTGGCTCTTTTGTTTGTGAAAGTCCGCATGATCACAGTCAGACCTAGAATGATCGTAAAGATCGCCAAGTGGACAGTTGATATCGTGGCAAGGACTCGAGGACCCAAGGCTAGAAGATAAAAAATAGAGAAATAAAAGAAAGAAGCTGATGTGAATGCCATCAAATAGGAGATGTGCGGTAAAAGATATAGATATATCATATGCATACCTTTCCCGATCTGGTCATTTGGTGCGCCTGGAACCTGACCAATGCCATGGCAGTACATTCTGTTCTGTACGGATTCACGTAAGAATAAATCGATTCGCCCTTGGGGGTATATATATATCAACGCGTCCAATTATACGGACAAAAAAAGAACAGGGGGAGTCATCCCATCATAGACATCCCAGAAACAATAACAAGACACCAGATCTGCCCCGGTACACCCGCTTTCCATCAAATCTTCAACTTCGAGATACAATTCGTTTTCCGAGAAGCACTGGGTAATCACGGCTCATCCCCCCAGATGCCAAAGACTGGAAGATCCTCAGCCATATACAGCAGACCATTATCCGGGAACATCACGTCAGAAAGCGGAGATGGGCCGGACACCGGGGGCGGGCCGGAAGGAATAGTCCCGCCAGGAGAGCAGCCCACCGGGATGCCCGAGGTGGTTAACGCAGAAATGGTTGCATCGTAGGATAACCCTGCGGTGGGGTCTGAGCCATTGCACAGGGCTTCCCAAACATCGTGGTCGGTTGGAAGTTGGGGTTGAGGGGTTGGTTGGGAGGGGATGTAGGAGGATGGAGCTTCAACGGGCATTTTGTCAGGGGAGGTAGGGGATAGTGCAGTTGCAGATACGGGTGAGTGAGCATCACTTGGGCCAAGGAAAGGTGGAGCTCCTGGGGTCGGGGAGCTACGATCCTCATCACCGCCTACTTGGCCGAAGAGCTGGTCAACCTGTTTGCTGCGCCTATTCATCCATTGTCGATTTCGCCGGGAAACGTATTCGGTTACAGCAGCGCGGAGGTATTTGATAATCTGGAAGAAACGGCACGCGTGTGGATCGTACGGGACAAATAGCCCTAAGAACCGTTCAGCTTTGTTTATTCCTTCTTCTAAGGGGGAGGAGATTATCGTAGTCGGCGAAGAATGCAGCGCCGAGGACGATGACAGAGTTGAAAACGGAGTTGATCAAGAAGGGTAGTCGACGTGGAAGGGAGGTATAATGGCTGAGATCATCGACTACGTCTAGACCTCGGAGTGCGGAATAGACACATGCATCGGCAAACAAGGATATTCGGGAGCTACCGTTTCGAGCTTCGGAGGATGAATCGGGTTTGCCCTTGACGTATTGGGCAACACGGTATATAAGGAATGGCCGTGTCAACAGGATAATCGACCAGTAATATGACCCGAATACATGAGCTGCGGCTAGGCTGTTTTCCATGGATTTGTTTTCGAGCCGCTCAGTCTGCATTTTGAGGATTGTTGGCAAAGTTCGAACCCAAGCCCGATGCTGGTTCGAGATCGTCTCTGCAACATTTATCGATATGACTTGCTTCATGTACACATCGGTCAAGATCCGTTCGAATATTCGACAAAGCGAAATCACCGCAGCTGAAAGCTGTTGATCTAGGGTCAAATGGTGTTGTGATTCTCCTGATACAAGAGCATCTTCACGTATGTCATAGTCGTAGTCTGAAGTTGCGGGAGGGCGTCCTAGGGAGGCGCTAAGGAATAGATCCATCATCCGAAGACTCTTCCAAACTCGCTCCCTCGCTCGGCGCTCACGCCCACAAAAGAGCGCGTTTGCATCCCTGCGGTGGATTCCTACCGCGTATGCAGCACGTAGAGCAATCCCCAGATTCATAAATGCACCATTGCGCCTGCATGCGCCGAGCATATACATGGAAACCAAAATGTATGATTGAATGGTGGATATACTTGGGGTTTCCTGAAAGGCCGAGAACGCCAATTGACGACCGCTGCCAAAATATTGTTCAGCTACTGTCTGATCAATATCGGAAACCTGAGCTCCAATGGCAAGGACAAGATAGAAGATAGAGCTAACGGTATCTTCGTCACCCGATGGGTTTGCAACCCAATTAGCTAGCCGTGGGTGGAACTCTTCCAGATCAAACAAGTCAAGCAATGGGCTTGTAGCAAGCACAAATTGACGAGCTAGTCGTTGGGCTTCATCGTTGCTTGGTGGCGTAACTAGAGCTCCGGGCTGAGTGCTTGGGTTGCTCTGAAAGGCCTCGAGCATCGAGTGTCGTGAGTTGTCCTCGGTGAACTCACATCGGCCAATGGAAGACGTAACAACGCGGCGCAGACTCTGTAAAAATGACAAACTCGCTGAATCACCAATATACATAAACTTTCCCTGACCGTCGCGCAGAAGTCGTGCCACTTTGGGCACGGGAGCCGTCCCTTCCTTCTCATCTTTTTCCTGGCGTTCCATATTCATTCCTTGGTCCTCGAGAGAGTTCAAAAGGCGGTCCATTGCCGTTTCGCGCTGTGGAGATGCTACCATGCGCTCACTGAGCAACATTGTTGAGTCCTTGGCGTCTGGCTTGAGTAGGCGTGCGGGCCGATCCGAGAAATGGCATTCCGACTCCTTGTGCCTCTGAACACAGATTGTACACGGTTGTTCACCGTTGCATTTCTGCTTTCGCCTTTTACAGCTGTCGCAGGCTCGTCGGCATCGGAGCCGTGTTCCCGGGGTAGTGCTGGCCCGAGGCATTCCGATGGCCGCGCTTGCGCTCGCGCTTGGTGAATAGGTCGGGTCACTCGTCTGGGGTTTCGGTGATAACCATCAAGGCGTGAGGTATCTGAACCGAACGAGCCGGGGGCGATTTGGATTGATTTAAGCCATTGCTGAGGTCGAATATAATGCTAAAGGCCGCTAAGTGCGGGCGTCTGCTTTCCCCGGACTCCACTACATGACTAAGCATATTTATCCCCACCCAAGCACCTCCAGGGCTGTATATAGATGAACTTGGATTCAAAATCTCGGATAAACGCATTGATACATTGATATGACGAGAATACATGTACTTCAAGTCCAAATTCCCCGGAATATCATGGCCGGAATGACACTATCTTGCCCCAGGTGTCGGCAGTGCCCCAGATGCCAGTCCGCAGGCATTCTAACTGCACAATCTGGCTGTGATCCACAAAGAGGTTGACATCAATACCAAACTCACGGACGTACCAATTAAAGACTTTGGGATCTGCAGCTTCAAACATGACACGCTCAGGAGGAAGCTCCTTCATGATCTTCGACACCACATCAGTCCGCCAGGAGTTGACGTTTTCAGTGATACCTTCTGACTCAATCATCAATCGCTTCACACCAGCGTCGAGGAATCTACGACCCAAGTTCACCAATTTGCCAGGGTCAGAGGTCCCAATCGCTTCCAGTCCCGAGGCAGGTGTGTCTCCGCCGGCTCCAAATTGAATCCCCAATTCAGGCTTTGGTTCCAATTTGTATGAGTGGACTTTATCAATAAGACGGAGCCAGTCATCCTCTGGGAATGATAGAAAACCGGAAGACAGTTCAACGACATCAAGTCTATGTTGACTAGTCAGATTTTATATTCCAGGCTCCTGCCTTGAGCTAGGGATGCACTTACCCGAGATCCTTGCATTTCTTCAAGTAGCGGTCAAATACCATATTCGGATCGGGGTGTGTGAGGAGATGCTCAGCCCATCCACCCTGAAAAATGGAACCCGGTGTCAAGAGTATGCTTTCAAATGCGCTAATTTGTTGGTCCAAGACACTCTTACCGTTGAGATGTACACGCCATGCTCGTGGGCAAGATCGACCAATTCCCGCAATTGTTTCTCGTGAAAGAGAGAAAAAGCACCTGGGTTCGTCTCAGCGCTATCATTTCTGGTGAGAACCGAAGCCCTGTTGGGACTTACCTCCGGCAAACTTGAGACCATCTACATGGTTGCCCATCCTATCAGCTGTCGTCAGATATCATTTGGTTAAGTAGTTGGGACATTTCGGAATATTACGTCTCGAGGATATCTGCGAGATATCTTTTGCCCATGACCTGGTTTAGGTTAGGTCCACGGAAAACGATGATAGGACTTATATGGTACCTACCGAGTAGTATGGGCCTCGGATCTCAGTGACTCCCTTAGTTCTGGGCTTGACAGGTCTGGGGTTTGACCGCGCGAAGCCAAAGCCATTTTGCTTGTCTTGCAGAAGAGTGGTTCCTTGATATATGTTCGGCGTGGCAGAAAAGTGTCTGGATGGGGTCGACAAAGCAATGGCAAGTTGTGATGAGGTGCGGTTCATTACACGCCCGGTTATAAGTGGATTAATAAACAGCATATTTAGGCAGTTGCTGGATCGAATGTTTGAGTCGACCTAGAATTCACATTCAAATTATGTATGTTTGGGGAAGGGTCGACGTCAAACATACTTCATACGAATTTCAAGGATATTACGTAGGAACGAGCAAATATTACATCACTTGAGAGATATTGTATATTACAATAGTATTGCACTACATATTGGAACTGTAGGAGAATAAAGAGATGTAGTATTATACTCCATACATATACTCCATAGTTACATATATACTCCATACATACTAGTGCTATACTAAATGTACATACTAAAACAACTAACTAGGGCTCGGATACCGGAGACTCTGTAAGGCGAAGTTTGGCAGGCGTTTCGGAGATCGGCAGGAGATCCGATGTATGTGCTTTGTATGTTTTATATACATATACATATGTATATGTATATGTACAATATGTAATAAAGAGTAAAGAGTAAAGAGTAAAGAGTAAAGAGTAAAGAGTAAAGAGTAAAGAGTAGAGACCTGGGGAGGTACCGAGGTAGTCGTATACCTACATAGTTACCTAGGTATGTACATATGTAGGTATACTAATACCAATTTTATCTTAGCTTTGGAAGGTTTCACCATTCCAAGGTTAATATTTGCGAATATGGCAAGATGTCACATGTGTCCAGGTATAAGTGTACAAGTCCATGTATAAGTTATGTATAACTATAGTTCTATCTATGTATGTCCACGATACTGTATTCAGCCAGGCCCTTCTGCCAAGAACAAAGCCAGTCTTGTGGACTCGGTTTTGATACATTGGATGTTTGATATATGGAGTATGCCCCGATTAAAAGCAAAAAAAGATATGCAGTTGATTCCGGTGACTCCCTGCCCTTGCGGTCCTGGCACCTGCCCTGGGAATTTTTCTATTTTGAAAACAACCAGATGGCCCTGAAACTCCTCTCGGTTATCTACATATTCAAATCCCCTCATTCTTAATGTACTTCTTTATATATTGGGCCCCTTCTTATTTCCCTTCCCCTTTGAGAAACGGTAGTACCTAGGTACCGGTTCCTCTGTCTGGTACCCATCATGGGAGCTGGAATGGTCATAGAGCCTCTGGTGGTTATTGCTCTCTTGTTTGGAGGCACCTGGATTAACCGCTCTGTCGGATCATCCTCGACTCGGCGCTACAGCCGACGGAACTCAAACGACCTTCGACGAGCCGCTTCATTTGATTCTTTGGAGCCAGGGTACTCAAACCAATCGGCAAAGGATGGCCTGTTGGGCTCTCGGTCCCACCCACCACAAGACCCGGAAGATAGATGGCACAAGCGACAGGTTGGACTCCTGGGGTTGAATTGTGAGGTGTCATCGCCGAATAATATTGTGTTCCAAGACCGCTTGCTCAGTCAGTTGCTCCGGAAGTTTCCTTTCTTGGTGGAATGTTGGTATTGGGCTTTGGTTTATTGGGTAGGTTGGTTTGCTATTTTGCTTCCTATTTGCTTCCCTATCGTCGGTCTTGGACAAACCGATAGCTCATAATTTGTGCAGACGTACCAGCTCGGTCGCGCCTTTACCGCCGTGACTCTCAAGGGTAGCACCCTCGATGTCGCGAGGAGACATGCACTGCAACTAATCATGATGGAGGAGAATCTCGGTATATTCTGCGAGACCTTGATTCAAAGACGCTTCCTTCGACACCCCCTTGTCATGCCTTGGATCAATTGGATATACTCCTTCATACACATTCCTGGGACAATCGCGTTTCTTGTCTGGCTATACTACTACACTACCGTGCGGAATCGTATCGATGAGGCTCAGCCCGGAGACCCCAAGGGTGCTGCGAGCGGGTCACCTGCAGGCCCTCTCCTATACCAGGCGCGCCGGCGGACTTTGGCCTTGTGCAATCTTCTCGCATTTGTGGTTTTCACTCTTTGGCCTTGCATGCCACCTCGGCTACTGAGTGACCCAACCGTGGATGGTGAAGAGGCGGATCTAGCCCGCAGCTATGGGTTCGTGGACACGGTGCATGGTATCAATGGATCAGGCAGTGTTTGGACGGAAAACCGCTTCTGTAATCAATATGGCAAGTGTTATCTGGCCCGAATCCTCTCCATGAATCCTTGACTAACTGTCACCAGCGGCAATGCCCTCCTTGCATTTCGGCTACTCTCTAATGATCGGCCTCACACTGATAACAATCCCTTTGCCACAGCACCACCGGCGCACAATCCTGCGTACTCGGCTGACCCGTGCCCTAAGACTGAACCTCCCGTCATGGTGTCGCCTTTTTTGTGCCATACTCGGCTTCCTATATCCGTTTACCATCCTTGTGGCCATTGTTGCCACAGCCAACCATTTTATTCTGGATGCTGTCGCGGGAGCATTTGTATGTGCCTTGGGGTGGTATTTCAATGGGGTGGTGCTCAACCTGTTGCCTTTGGAAGACTACTTCCTTTGCCTTGTCCGGATTCATAAGCCCGAACCGTCACTTCTCGATGTCCCTGAAGAGGATTTCCCGAGTGAAAGTGCGTCAGAACATGCTGGGATCTGAGTCCACTCACCAGGGTTTGGCATTTCATAGTTGATTCGAATTTGGATTCGGCGTCTTTGTTTTAGAACTTGATACCCTGTATGAAACCCCACCAAACCGCCTGGTCTGGTTTATAATCTGTGTATATGGACCTCCTGGTTATTGTTACCTTCTCTCTGTGGGATTGACCATTCAACACTCGTACCCTGATATCCTCCCCCATACCTAATTAGCCACCGATTAATATGTTTATGCAACAAACATTCTTTGTTTGCCGGAAGAGCCTGAAAAGTTAACATTGGAAGAAAGTCCAAATACTTCCTTTGTATGGCATAACTATCACTATACATACAAAGACAACCTGAGCATTACAACGCAAACTTCATATAATATCTCTTTCAGATCCAAAATACAAATACCCCTGGAAAAGGCAGATCAGAAAAAGACATGAATTCGCATCAACTTGGTGGGGGGGGGGGGGGGGGGGGTTACTTGAGGCATAGAAGTTTAGATGCGTTCACGAAGAAATCAACACGCTTGACTTAATTCATTTGTCCCTCGTATTCGCCCACCCTCATTCAAATCAACCATCCAATACTTATTACATTGTGCTCGATCACGTATTACATCGTTGTCGCCGTCGACATGGGCAAACCGCGAGTTAATAACATGAGGATCACGTCTAAGTACAGAGTCGCAAGCTCCCTG